CAGGTCCGAGTTCAGTACACCCCCCCCCCGCCTCTAAACACGCGCTGGGGCTGATGGGACGGGGATTTCACGGCGAGACGTTTGAAAACCGCAAATGTCAACCTCCTGATTATCATGTCAAGTGTCAACCTCAGAACCTCTGATTGGCCTTCGTACCGCAGGAGACGCAACGGGCTTTTGTTTGTCTCTCTCCCGTTTGCAGACGGCTTATCGCCTCCCGTCAATGTGACCGTCAGAGCGGTGAAAGCAAACTCTGCAGTGGTGAAATGGGACATCCCCGAGGGAGACCCCGTTATTGGCTTTGCCATCACGCAGCAGGTGAGGAATCTACATCTGTTGCTGATGCACTATGCAGGTCATTCATCTCCTACGGTTTGTATTGATCGTGAACTTCTTCTAACTTCCCCGCAGAAGAAGGACGTGCGCATGCTGCGGTTCATCCAGGAAGTCAACACCACCACGCGCTCCTGTGCATTATGGGACTTGGAGGAAGAGACGGACTACATCGTGCACGTCCAGTCCATCAGCATGTCTGGGACGAGCCCGCAGAGCGAAGCCCTGCGCTTCCGAACGCCGAAGGGGGCCGAGACGCAGGCCTCTAAGAGTAAAGGTAAAGTGACACACACACACACACACACACACACACGCTCAGTCATCCACAATGTGCACACTTCCTCGCCCCGGTTTCTGTCCCCTTCAAGACAGCGAGCGCAGAGGGGACTTGGCCTTTTGACAACCTCCTGACTGATTTCGTCTAAAGACCAACCGAAATCAATAAAACTGAAGGTGCACCCAGCTCAACCGCACAGTAAACCAAAATGAAGAGAGGCTTTCATCAGAGGAGGAGAGGAGGCTGAGAATCGATGTGCTTTTGGCCCGACGCTCTGCTTCCATCCATTCCTCCTCTGGCTTGCACTCGTCTTTGGTGTGAGCGATACTTCGATACCGCTCAGGCTGCGGAGCAGGAGAGAACCTCCGACGTTGGGGACAGCGGGACTGCAGAGACACGGTTGCGGAGCGCTGAAGAGACCCAATTAGCACCGGCGGTGTTGTTCTGCGAGAGGGGAGACGGGTGAAATCAAGAACCGTGCAGACGACCGACCGTGCCGACGAACAGCGAATTCGTCCCTTTCTGCACGCGCTCGTGCGCTTTGGTTGCATTGGTGATTCTCTCCGCTGCTGCATTCAAAAAGCCCCAAAGACACAACAGCTCCTCCAACTCTCACTCAGCGAGTGTCTCACAGCCCACTGGCCCGAGAGTGAAAAGAGGAACATACATACAGTTATATCGAATTATTCTGTTTTCATGGCCGAGAGTGAAAATAGGAAAATACACCATTATGTTATTTCAGAGCATTGATGTAGAAACCCAACATTATGCAAGTGATATTGGCAAGTGAAAAACCTCTGAATATGATGATCTGAAAAAAGTAAAGCAATCAGACAAATGTATTGCAGTACAAAGAACAATATTGAAATGTAGCAGAGTAGAAGTAGCATCAAAATGTACAAGTAGATTTTGAACTTAAATACAGTATTTGAGTAAATGTACTTAATTACATTCCACCAATGACATTCTCTTTCACCTTTTGGAAAGAATCAGTCTAGCTGCCTTGTCTCACCATCACTCGCTCCAACAACCACTTCACATCTTAGATCTGCACATATGTTCGTCGAGGCGAAGGATGTGTTCAAATCTAACTTTGAACACGGATGATTTTCTTTTCAGTCGGGACAAATGAAACCACCTGCTCATCATTCTGCACATTGATAAAGAAAAGTGTTTAATTGGTCATTAGAAAGGATTAAATTGGTGCACAACATTTGTCAAAAACAGAAAAAATAGCTAGAAAAAAGTTCAACGTCTCTAGAATAAGAGTTTATTCTCAAAACAGGGCTGCAGTAAAATACTATGAGATATCTCCCAACAGCATCCTTCTGTTGCATCCAATAGGGGGAACAAAACCACTTCTCCATTTCTCTTTGTGGCCACTGAAGTAAAAACAGCCACATGAGCGACCAGGAGGGATGCAACACAATACATCAAAAGAAAAGCGCTATTCATTTCTCGAGTGAGCAATCCGTGTTCAGTCAGGACATGTGTAGCCGAGCTCGGCATGAAGACCGCAGACACCCGCGGAGGCCGATCGATCCGCAGAAAGGCTTGTTGCTAAATTCTACTGGAGCGAGGAGTTCCTGCCACACTGGGACGTCGTTTTTCCTCTTAAATTCAAACGTTGGCCGCCAGATAGGAGAATAATATAAATTCTATCCTGTAAAACATAGAAAAATCCTCCTTTGAACAGTGAGTACTAAAAGAAACGCATGAGTCCAAATAAGTAAGTCCTCCGGCGAGGACACCCCTCAGTCGTCCCTGCCCCGTCCCTTGATCTCGGCATCGCGCTGTAGTGCGAAGGTCCTCCAGCGTCCTGGATGAAGCCTCGTCCGTTCCCTTCATCTTCTGCCTCTGTGTGATCTTCTGACTTCGAGGGGCCCTCACAGAACCCGTCCTCCTAAGCGCTCACATCTGGATGGTGTGCCTGTGTTTATTCACATCAAGATGCCCGGCTGTCTAAAGTCTGTCTTTCGAAGATCATCACTTTCAAACCTGCACCTCCCCCCGCGTGCTCCTGCTCCCTGCATTTTAACACATGGCAGCGACAGGTGAAGACCAGCTGGCATGAGAGAGGCCATCTTCCTCATGGATGTCTACTGTCTAGACTGAGATCTGAGCATTCAGGGAATGAGCCAGCTGTGGAACGGAAACACCAGCCCTGAAGGGCCGTGTGAGGGAGTTCACGCTCTTCAGCGTAATGAAGTAGACCTCTAACTGTTTCCAAAAAAAGAGTACGTCCGCTCACGGGCCCTGCGTGCCTCAGTCTGTGATAGAGCGAGCTGGGGAAATTAATTTATTAGGCTCAGTTAGAATCACAATTACATGGGAAACCATTTCTGCTGATAGGTTGGAATCACTTTGCTGTTTAGAGCCGATTGCCTCCTTGTTGCAGAACGAGACTTGCCTCAAGACGGGGAAACGTTGGCAACTGGATGCAGAATATAGCGGGCTGCCACTGAATAAGGAGAATTATCCAAACTTCAGGTCATGTTGGCAACACCAAGAGACAATTTAATGTGACATGTCGCTGTTAATTATGGACACCGATGAATGAACATAAGCGTGACGGGAGCAGATCATCCAACGATAGATGATGACGCTGGTTTCTCCACCGTGTTACAACCACAATACAGAATAGGACCAATTCTTAGTTCAAATCATAATCCGCTCTCAACAGCATTAAGTTAAACCTGTCGCCCCCTTGACTCCCCCAGACGAGGTGACGATGGAAGAAGTGGGCCAGACCACCCAGCTGAGGGCGGGGGAGCTCATCATCATCGTGGTGGTGCTCATCATGTGGGCAGGTGAGGACCAAACCGCTCATCAAACCAGCATCACACCGAGTGTCAAAAGTACCAGAATATACGAGAAACAGGAGTGTTTATGTCACGCCTCCCCCCCGCCCCCTCTCCCCCCTCCCAGGTGTGATCGCTCTCTTCTGTCGCCAGTACGACATAATCAAAGACAACGAGCCCAACAACAACAAGGACAAAGCCAAAAACTCCTCCGAGTGCAGCACTCCTGAGCATCCAACGGGGGGGCTGTTGCGCAGTAAGGTATAACCCACCTCTCCCCCCCCCACAGCAACGGCGGGCAGGTGAATGATCCCGGGCCACTAATGGATTTATTTTCCATTCCAATTCAGATAAACGTATCTGAAAATGTAAAATGTATCTGTATCTGTATCCGTCTCGGTGCGGCGGCGTCCTCGCTCATCGTTTGGTTCCCGCGAGTCGTCCGGCCTCCCTCAGACCTGTCATCTTCCTCTCCTCTCCTCCCACAGTTCCCCAAGAACAACAACAACAACAACAGGATGCCATCCGTCAACATCATTGAGGTGTGACTGCCAGAACGCCTTCTCTTTAGCCAAACAAAGCGGGCCCCCCTCCCACCTCCCCCTTTTTGAAGCCCCCCCCGGGACTCCTGCCCCCCCCCGCCGCCTCCGCGGCTTTGCCGCAGGGCCCGCCGCCGAGGCTGCGTGACCCCGGCGGGGTCCGGGGCGACCCGGCTGGGGGCCGTCCGTGGGGGCGAGAGGTTTCAGAGGGCGTGCCGGGCTCCGTGAGGTCAGAGGTCAGGCTCCGGAGAGGCGCGGAGGCTGCAGACAGGAACCAACCCCAATGGGACCAAAGCCTACGGACTGAGGCAGAGGCCTTTTCATCCTCTCCCTCCCCTCCCCCCCCCTCCCCCGTCACCTCGCTCTTCTCACCTTCTTTCCGCACACTATCAACACAACCACAGACATGTCCCGTCACCGGGTGGCTCTGAGCTGCACCCGCTTTGTCGAAATGTGTTCCCTGTACTTCAATCTAATCTTCCCACACCTTATTTCCCACCGACATTATATTCTGTTTTCTACGCTTTCAGGAATAAACACTCTAGATCACTCAAGTGTATTATTGAATTTTTCTTCATTTAAAATAAATTGCCGCAGCAGTCCTGTGGTTTATTATGGTATTCATCTTTTTTTTTTCCTTTTTCAAACCCCCTCCTCCCTTCAGGCAGGTACTCCCGTGGGAAATGATTTAATCCTAGCGCTCCGATCCCCCCCCCCCCCCCTCCTCTGACAACCCAGACGCCACCTGGCTCATTTTCGGGAGCCATTTCACAGAATGTGCAGCGATGACGCCAGAGCTGACTCACCCAGTCAGAAAGGACGCAGCGCGTAATAAAAGGCACGTCCACACGGGGACGATCGTCTTGGTCCCGTCTGCTTCGGCCCTCTTCTCTCATGCTCTTGTTATAGATTTGTGAACTGTTACATTCCACGTCGGCCCTTTAGTATTTCCTCGCGTCTTTCTTTCTAGGGTGTTTTGAAGCGTAATGTGACAAGTGAGTGGACTTTAAGATAGCGGGGGGGGGGGGGTATGGACTCTATGACTGTGGGTGGAGAACTGGCCTCTTACAGCAATAACAGGAAGCAAGGACTCAAACTCGGCAGCCTGTTTCGTCAACAGCTCGACCTCCCAACACGCTATGCTCAGACGGACACGAGCGGATGCACCCGGAGCCTCGTCTGCAGGGGACTGAACTGTTCAAAGCAGTCTTTGAAAGTCTCTTGGACAAACTGATGGAGGGCATGATCCGAAAAAAAGGACGTTCCACCCAGACGCCTCCTCATGACGTCATGAACCGAGAGACAGAAGGGCTTCTGCTGAGACTTTTTCCACAAATCAGTCAGACTGTTCCCTGTATTCCACGAGCAAAACTGTTTGGTGAAAGCAGATGACGTGTTTGAGGGCTGATTCAAACTTAGAAGTACTGCCTTAAAAACTATTTTATATTATAAGTTACCATTCTGTCATGTTGTCAAATATGTGTGCAAAGTAAAAGGAGAGAACACGGACGACCTGTGGACGACCTGATTTAAGTTTGACTATCTGGACATTGGTGTGTAAATACATTTTATATTCAAATTCTTCTTTTGGTGGCTTCAAGAGCCTTTCACGGATTATGACTAATGTGGGAAATGTATAGAATCCAAATGTAAAAGGGTTCTACTGTTGTTGTTGGGAATGTAGGCCACCTGTCTTTGTTAACACACTGCTGTTAAAGTCCTTTCGTTTCATAGCGCTCCTCTACCGTTCTATTTCTACTACGTTGCGTCACCCTGAGGAGAGGGAGGGAGGGGGAGAGAGCGCCGGAGACGTCCCGCGTTTCATCACCCGGTTGTCAGCACATCACTGGACTAAAAAAAAAAAAAAGATTGTTGAAAGTTGAAAATCAATGTGGGTCATCTTATCAAGTGTCTGCACATTTCACACTCGCCTGGTGGATAAACGGACTAAAGTAGGTAAAGGTGTGAGGACATGGAGCCGCTCCCTGCAGAAGAATTCGCCGGTCGACCACACAGTAAGAATTCAACATTCCACTGGGGCCTTTGGAGGCCGGCGGCCCGCTGGGGACTTTCAGCGTGACGTGTTCTCACGTCAGAGACAATTTAACACTGCATATATTTTGTATCAGACTCCTAAAGACGGCTGGAAGCTGAAACCTTTTATGTTGGCTTCTTGAAATGTGGGAATGAGATCCACAAAGAAGGCCGGCGTGGGAAGATGACCTCATGTTTATATGCATGAAGTGTGCGCAGGTCTCTGCTTAATGAGGGCTAGCATGGTTCAATTATTATGCACAAGGTTACGAAACTTCACATTACGAAGAGTATGGTGTGTTTACTTGTGTATGCTTCAATAAAATAAAACATCGGAATATTTTCCACTAGTCTATGTTAACTAAAGCATGAGATTGCCCAACAGGTCAGGGTGGGGACATATTTTTTTGAAGAGAGTGAATAATACATGTGGACCTCAGACTGTCTTCTCCATCAAAAGAAAAGCACATACCTACAAAGTCCTTGTACTGGGGAGGAACGGACTGTGCAAACACAATAATCGGGGGTAATTGAAACTTACATTTACGGTCATGTCAGCAGCTTGTACTTAAATCCCTCATCAGATTATGTGCATCTATTCATCGACGTGCCAATAATGGACTCGATTGCTTGGCTGAGCACGTCGGAAAGAGGCAGTGGGACTCCTGAGCGGGAAGACACGACCTCCATCTCGATGAGCCGCGCCCCCGCTCACGATGGAAGGGCAAAACATTGTTGGATGCTGTTGAGGGGGGAGGAGGGGGTCGCTGCTGCCCTTCAGGCTGACAGGTCACTCCTCGGCCTTTCCGGAGTTTCACAGCCTGCATTATTCAACCAATGGGACCCGTGAGGATTAGTTCTCTGAATTTGGGTCCCCCGGGGGCCCCCCCCGTCTGCCTGTACCTGGGTGCTGCACTCAGAACGAGGGTGTTGAACACAGCTTTATTGTGGGAATAATACACTCCACCACACAAACATTTTTTTTTAGAATTATATTTTCAGGTTTCAACTTCAGTGCAGACAAAATTAATTCACATCAACAACTACAAACATTTGACAGCATTAGGTCACGTTAAGCTTCTTGCTCAGGTTTTCAAACGATCGGAAACGTCTACCGACCTCACAAAGAGGAGGGAATAGTTTCTGTGGCTCTCAGAAGTGCAGTTTTAAAAGAGCTCAAGGGGTTTCTGGTTTGTTGTAAATCACTGACCTCAACAGTTTATTAAAACATTATACAAGTTACTAAGTGTTCAGAGGTTTGTGGACTATCAAATTAGTTAGGTTAGTTAAAAGGTGAATTTACCTTCTTTTTAAAGAATCACTTTCAATCAACACTGTGCTAATGTGGGGGGCACAATAAGAACAAATAATAAACCTGACCGTGCACACATGGACGGTTCTAATCAAAACAGACTGGAAACATGGATGGAATACATTTGAACTAGCAAAAAAAAAAAAGCAGCGAACATTTCAAACAGTATTACAAAACACTTTTAAATACATATTAAAACATGCATATTTTCAAATTGAGTAAAAATGCAAGGCATTCAACATGCTTTTAAACCCTTGCTTTTTCCCCAGGCATAATCGCAAAAACATCAAAAACATGCATTAATTTGCTTACACATGACAGCATAGTTCAAACAAGAAAGTGACAAACAAAAGACCCACAAAGCAGATTCAACCAAAGAAAGGAGGAGAGAGCAAACACTGACAGGAGGTAGCTGCTACACAAATTAGATATGTTTTAATGATCTTTAGTGCCATCGGTTTTCAAGACAGTCCACTCCCTATTTAGGGAAACGGGCTCCTCTGAAAAAATGTTGGGATCTTTGCAAAGCGCTTGTTTTGTGGATTTTTCTGGGAGTACCACTCACGGAGGGTCATTTTTGGAACGACGTTTCCAAACCGTCTCTGGTAGTTCCTACAAGCACAAATCCAGAGCCACATTGTTGGCGTTGGATAAGACAGGTGTGCCTTAGGACTACTTTAACATCCACACCTCTTCAGAACTACAAGGAAACGATGTAGGACGTACCGGCGTGTGAGGTCAGAGGGATGCTGCCACGGTCTTCCACAAGTGCCTGGTCTCTGGTCGGCTACATGGTTCATCAGGTTCACCAGCTCAGTCATGACTTCAAAAAACATAGATGGGCGTTTCATTCACAGTGTTTATTTTTATCTACATTTAACTCACATTAAAGCTTTGAAAGTGCATTACAGCATCGCTATATAAAAAAATCCAATAAAAGTCTTCGTACCTTTATTTGACCCTTGATGCTCTTTCATGTGTCTGGTGACGGAATCGACATACAGATTCTTCTGATGCTCCAAGTCCCTCTCTCGGTCAAAGATCGCTGGCCTGAAAGAGACAAATTCAGCCACACACAGCATTTCTCGGTTCAGAGACAAAACACGGACTGTAGTGAACACAAAACAATGCACAGATACTGACACGTAGACGCGGAAAAGGCAGATGGCGTAACTATTATCAGCCGTAGACATGGTTGTCCTTACAAATCAAGCTACAGCCTGAACATCCACATTGTGTTAGACGTGGTCATGCAGCGCCCCCTAGTGACAGACGCCACTACAGTACCTTTTGCTCCCAGCGGCGCCGTCGGACCGGGCAGTCTGGAAGCATCTGCTCTCACGTGGGCCGGGCTCGTCGGGCTGAGCGCTCCGCTCTTGCAGAGGAGGGGCTGCTGTTTTACTGCTGGAGGTCTGCTGACCGGGAGCCACGACCACTGATTTCACCTTGAAAAAGTGCACGCGCTGTGCGCGTTAACATGCTGTGCGCACACTGGGATTTGTACCAAGCGAGCTCAGTAAAATAAAAGATAAATATAAAGACATGAATCTGTTGCACGTGGGCTTACCTTAACTTGGAGGGGTAACGTAGTCTCGTAACTTGTGTCTAAAGTGTCTTCCTCTCCACCCAGCATCGCTTGGATGGACGACTCGAATAGGGGGCGACCAATATTCCATGACTCCTCAGCATCACCTTCCAAAGTCTCCACATGAAGGTTTTGAGCCTCCATCACCGGCACACTTACAACACGAGACACGCGGTTTTGAAATGCGTCGCTAGTCTGACTTTCGCGGCGGTCTACGCGGCCGTCGAGACACAAGAGGTCTTCACTATCACAGTCGAAAGCAGATGCGAGATTTAAGGGGACGTTGTCACACCTCAAACTGTGTGGTACAGATCCCCCATCAAGCCCTCGCCCTGTGGAGGACCCACACTCCAAAGGCGGCGAGGGTAGCTGGGAACATGCACGTTCTTTAATCTCAATCTTAATAGTTTGTGGCACATTTAACGAAGCAGCCAAGGAGACGGCTAAAGGTGACACAGAGTCACCTGTTGCAGGAGGGCTGTTGTAGTCCATGAAACACCCAAGGTCCGGGGACAAGTCCTTTGGACTACAGAGGTTTTTCACTGGCGTCTCATAGCCATCATCAAAACTCAAATTCTGTGATTTTCTTTTTTTGTTTACCACTTCAACTGTATAATTTATAAAAGGATCTGACAACTTTCTCTGTCTCAGACTGGCCTCCTGCTTACACATGACCATCCTGGAATATATGGACAGGGGTTTCAGGGGCTTTGGTCGATCAAACCTATTGGAAAGGTCAGTGGCCAATGCTGGTATTTTATCCATGTCTGTTGAAAAGAAGAAACAGGTTGTCAGTTAACTACCTTCAGATCATCATTTAGGCAAACATTTGAATACTAATGAATGTTAAATCAAGAGTAAAACAAAACTTAATTTGAATCATGAATTCAAATATTTTACCTCAATATTAGCCCGTGATTGAGTATTAAACAAATATATTCATCCATGTATGTATTCCTCAACCTACATAAAAAGAAGCAATAAGTCTCTAAAAACCTAACCTTGAATCCATTTAAGACTAAATCGGTAATAACTTCACACACAGCTGAATTCTTCTAAAGGTCTGCGGTCAGGATTAGCTCAACTACCACCGATCGAAACACTACACGATTTAAACGTAAACAAAAGAGCAAATAGTTACCAGACCAAATTTGGTTCGGGTAACATAAGGGCACGAATATGTGGTGTATCTATTTATTATTCATTTGGCATTGTAAAAGACAGACTTTGATTAATATAATTTAGCATAGTTAAGAGTTTCAAAATATCGGCTGGAAATAGCATAAGCTTTCATTAATGTCAAGTGCTACAATGCTAACTGAAGTTAGCTAACGTTAGCTATATTACTGATGTTAGCAGCTAATGTCATTAACAATTTGCACTTTTCCTATGATAAATTGAGGGAAACCTTGTCTCAATTCGTATGGAATAAAGCCCAAAGTTTCAACTAGTGAGGTTGGTAATTTGCAAATGTCGCTGTATCTTCAACTTCATATTTAAGTTCGTCATAAGAAACTTTATTTCATATATAAGTAAAATAAATCCGACATTGAAGGCGGTTCACAGCAGGGACGTAACGTTAACTTCTCGGCGGGCATTAGCTAGCCAGCTAGCTAGCCCCCTAGCTAGCTAGCAGCAATAGCTTCATTCAAACTAACCTTGCCAGCTAGCCGCCCAAAACGGTAACCAACAAATCGGCGTATTAAATGGAAAACTGTAAGCGGTATGTAAAGGTGACGTATCATATTTTGCATTAATGCGCCGCTGAAACGTGTGCTAAAATAGAACTCACCTGCTATTGAAAATCCGCCAACAAGAAAATCAAACTACTTGCTGCTCGTGACAGGCGTTCGTGCTGTCGGCCACGCGCACGGGTATTTGAATCCTGAACGTGCACGCACGCAAGTCAGGTCGGACGGGGCGCCGTCCAAGTTCAAAGGTTGATCCAAAGTGTGAAATTCCTGTGGCATTGTTGTAATTTCATTTGGTGAAGTTTGTTTTTTTTACGTTCAACCTCTGAATTGACAATTAAAAGGGTCCATGAAAAATGTATGAAAACCATTTTGCTTCATCAGTTAGAGAAAGCATCCGTGTCTGCAACTGTGCATACGTGCGTATTTACGTTCTGTGGATGGAACATAGTTTATTACGGCCAAAAACCTGCATGCAAAGATTAACAGGCAATTCAGTGGTCTACTAAAATCCTACAGTGCAGCACCCATAGACATATGGCAGAAAATGATGATCCCAATGGTATAACAATCAGAATAGTTCTGTTAAGATATTACTTTATTAGTCCCGGAGTGGGGAAATTTACCGGATTGCGGCAGCAAAGTGGAGATGCACACAAGATACAAACCCCATTCCAAAAAAGTTGGGAGACTGTACAAATTGTGAATAATAAGGAATGCAATCATTTACAAATTTCATGAACTTATATATTTATACTTATATATTTTATTCAGAATAGAATATGGATAAATAAATGTAAAAGAAAGTTTAAACCCTTTGGTTTGGTACAACACCATACGGTTTTATTTTATTGAAGGGTTCACATTATAAAAAGCAAATATGGCACAACAGATTCACAACACCGTGGCAGACAAAGGTGAAGATAGACGCACAATAAATAATATAAACAAAAACTTGGTTTTGGTCATTTTTCTTAATGCCAAAAATGTGCCGTGGTTTGGTCCTTAGAAGTAAACTTGAAGTTTGAGTTTTCCTGCTTGCCTATTACTGGCTGTGTGTTTAGCATAAAGGCTGAGACTGAGTGCAGCAGCGACCCTTTGACACGTAATGATTTATTGCTCCCAAGCAATGGGTCAATGACAAATGGCTACACTACACTACAATATCTATATGAAAACATGAATAGCTTTCCCTTCAATATGTCAGGGCAGACAAGGGTGAGGATGGATGCACGATAAATAATATTAACTAAAAACTCTGGCTTCCAAATGGTAGTTTTTCTTAGTACCGAAAATGTGGCCTGGTTTGGTCCTTAAAAGTGCGCTAGAAGAAATGTGAGTTTTCCTGTTTGCTTATTACTGGCTGTGTGATTAGCATAAAGGCTGAGACTGGTAAATGCTGAGATGAAATATTGCTGAGGGAAATAACAGAAGATCTCACCAAATATGACTGATAGAAGGCCACATGTGAATTCTTTGTGCGGTGGATGAATCCGGATTGGCATATCCAGTCATTTATATACATGTCTGCAGAAAACTGTGTATCGTGGCTCATTTCTGATTGTAATGGATGTGATTAAAATATCTGTAGCAGAGGTTTCAGCTACTAACACAATCTTGGTAACAGTAACATGTGACATGAATGCACAACACAAATAAGGAGTGCGGCAGAATAACTGAGATGATCCAGTAAACCAATAACACTCGTAGTATGTTATAATACGGGTAGGTGAAATCCAGCATTCTGATTGGTTGAGAGTGAGTCACAGGGTGTACATTATTGACCCATGTACAGTACCGTTTACAGTGACCTGAGCGCTCCATATCAGTGCACGCATAAAGCTGTCATTTCAAGTTTTAACAGTGAGCAAACATGTTTTGTGTAAACTTTTTGAGGAGAATCTCTTGTTATGAGTGGTTAAAGGCTCTGGGTACTGAATTGGGTTTAAAGGACAAAAGTGGAGGTTTACTATGCTATTCATAATGGTCACTGGCAACCGTATTATAAAATCATGTATGTATCCGAGGCAGTACATTGTTGTCAATAATGTTACAGTTAAAGATTGTTGACAACCCTTGAAAAGTACAACGTCTTCCTGTTGCTGGTTTCCCTTTCAGACGTTTTTGGGTCACTGTTCTTCAAGCAGAGGATCCATCTGGCCGGGTTCCAGCTAAATATCAAATAAAAACAGAGTATTATTCATACAGTGCCAGATTAGGACAATTAATATTTGTATAGTGTGAATGTAAATGTGAATGTAAAAATACCTGGAAAAGTATTTTTTAAATTTGCCAAGACACAAAGTAGGACGATAGCAAGTAAAAAAACACCAGCAGCAGCACCAGCAGCAACGCCACGATTCACAGCAACAGCAGCAGGATTCACAGCAACACCAGGACCAGCATCAATCTCTGTCAGGAGAAAAGAGTTTGACGGTTAATATTCTGACAGCAACATTTTATTGGACCAGGTCCAAATGATCATTCATATACTCTACTGCATTTTCTTTTAGTTCACTACCATCAACTGATAATTGTAGCGACAGGGAGCCACATGGCACTCTTACATGTACTATCCACACTTTAATTTAGTCCACGGTTTATGCTCTTTAAAGAAAGAAAGAAAAAATGAGAGTAGCTTGGGCTGCAAAACACAAATGGTGAGATGCTAAGCAGATAGCAGCTGGAGGCAGTGGTCTCATACACACTACTTTCCCTACCTTGTTCCTGAGACCTCTGGAGGGCTCTTAAGGTGCAGTTGACTGTAAAAAGAACCGTAAATACATTGAAATATACATTTCTCCTCAAAATAATAACGTCTAGAAACATTCAGAAGTTACAACTCGATGTCCGTCACAGAGCAAATAAGACAGAAGGAGATACTCACTCTCACAGTGAGCTAGATAACCGATCCCCTGTGGAGCAGAAACAAAGGTAAAGGGATTATTGTCAGAAAGACAACATTTTGAAATGAACATTTTCAGCTCTGCGTTTGTTATCACAGCTCATCCATGGTGCGGATTAAACCCGACTCCATTTCCTAAACACACTATTATTTGGACGGAAACAGTTTACCTCACAGAAAATAATTCAATAAGTATTGTGTTTTTTTCCATCGCCTAAATTTTGCCTAATAACAGCTCCTCTAGCGGACCTCACAGAGTGCAGTGCTGCTTTGTTGTGTAGTAAAAGTGTAACACCTCAGAGCACATTCGTTTGAAGGAGATGTTGTCCGAGCATTTCGGGGTGATGAGGTAGTTGATGCTGTATTCCACCACCCACTTAGGGTCCTTTGATCGATGATCTGCAATCACAGTGGCCTAAAGTCAAAAGGGAAAAACAAAAATCAGTGTCCATCAAATCAAAACCCTCTACATGTCTGCGCCGAGGAGGCTGCAGCTTTAGGTCGATGCAAACAAGATGTAACACTGACAAGAACTGTTCATTTATTCCCAGCCAGATTTTTATCAGAAAAGATGATTCTGGCTGGTGTAACTTACATTATCCGACCAACTGAACGTGCAGTCGGGCTCATTGACATCTGGCACACGTGACGTGTCTGAGACGTTGTACTCAGTTTGATCAGAGAACCGTGAGTGAGGCGAGGTGGTGCACTCGATGCTCCATGAACATCCAAACTGTAGAAAGTAAACTGGGAACAAACACAAGAATACAACAACAGAAGCCAGATTGGGTTACAAAATGGTCTTATGAGAGGAACGAGGTATTTACAAGAGTCTTCCACATGAACACCCACGGGGTAAACGTGCACAGTGGAAGTTGACGACATGAAACACAAATGTGATTTGTTTAAATGTACTCAAATTAGTTAAATGTTAATGTAATACAACAAAGATGTACATCACAGTAACTAGGGATGAGTATTGGGGGTTCTTTCAGATACCGGTGCCTAAACTTTTTAAGTTCAAACTATGAAAAATATATGAACTGTTTACAGTGTTTCCTCTCTGTAAGAGCCAGAAGTGTTAATAGATACACAAAGACACGCAACGTATATTGAGAAACATTAACTGTTGTATTGACGCTCCTTGTGTCTCTCGATGTGTTGCCGTCATGATTTCAGCAGGTGCAACACAGAAGAGCCGCATGAGGCAAGAGAGAATATAGTTTATCCTCCGATACTTAGCGCTTTGCTGCGTAAAATAAAGACGAAAAGAATCAAACCATCTGCTGTCAATCGCGTAAGGAAATTAAGTCACGTGTCTGCAGCTCAACGTCGCTTAATGAGAAACAACACCGAAGGAACAACGCTACAACCTCGGTGTAATGTGCCTTGTTTGTGTGTGTGTGTGTTGCCGTGAGGAGGTTTTTGAGCCAGTGAAGAAGGAGCCATACGCCGTACTCCCGGGTTTATTCATTTAAATAGACACCTTAGGGACGGAACACTCGGAGAGGAGGCCCGGTGTCTTCTGGCGGGCGCGTGTGTCTGCTTGTGTCCATCGGCGTGGCAGCGCCGTAAAAAAGCGCAACAAAAATAAAGTTCCAGACTTTATTAACGGAGGGAAACAGACTTTTTAAGACATTGATTAAAGGTTTTTTTATTTTTAGAGATATGATAAACTATATTTTCTATCAGATAGTTAACGCTTTGCTGCGTAAAATAAAGACAAAAGGAATCAAACCATCGGAATCGGCATATTTGCACTTGAGGGATATAATCTGATTCTAAAGATGACCTTTACAAATCTACCAAAAAAAGAAAAAATTGGCCTACAAACACACATAAATGTAGGGGAGAGTGGGGTGAGCCATGCCAGTTTTTACTCAGTGACTTTAAAGTGAAGCCATGGCAGTAATGCCTTCAATTTAAGGATGTACATATATTTCAGGATGTGGTGCATTCCTAAGAACAATAACTTTGGATCTGAAATAAATTGTTTCAGAAATATAGCTTTTGGGAAAAAAGTGGTCTTGTGGCACAACTTGCCCCTGGTGTGGGGTGCTTTTGAGGGGAATACGTTGGGGTAAATTGTGCCAGTGATTTCTGAAGTAAAAATAGATTCTTGTTGACATACATAGAATGCTGTATGTCAAACAATGTCTGTTAATGAATTAATGTCTGTTAAGCAATAGCAAGTAAAATGAGAATTTATTGAACAGTATTTCCCTGAGGAGAACTCAGAACATGCAGATGATCACTCGGTGAACAGTCAGAGTGAAGCGGAGAAACTGCAACGGTCTGACAAACACAAGATAAAAAACAGGGCATTAAGTAAGCTGACTAGATGGTTTGCAGCTACCTATGACAGTATGTAGGTCTAGGTAGACTGGATCTGGCCTACTACTTAACATCCCACTTTGCAACACTGCAGGGAAATATAAACTTCTGCTCCCTTCTGGCTGTACCACCAAGTTTTTGGGGTGTGGGTAGTTTCTTGAGTACATCAACTCTAGGGATGACTCCATCATTTTCTTTAAATGTAAAGATGGGTTTTCCATCCGCAGACTTCTTAGAACTTTGCCTTAGAAACTTTGCGCTGATGTCTCCACCCTCAACCTTCTCCACCAATCCAAGAAAGTTATAGGATTTGGTTTTACCAGCAAGTGCGTGGCATGACAGGTTTTGGTCTAAAATTAAGAATGTCACATATGTAACAATAGGAACTATAAGTAGGAACTATTGTTTAGTTCCGTGAGTCACACGGACTGTTATTGTGAAACACTGCCTTGTAACCAGACCGAGCACGATGGACCGTACACGCGACGTGAGAATGTATTAAAGTTTACAACCCAGTGAGGAGAGACCTGAAGAGTGTCCTCGTGTTTACGATTAAGCACCGCATTATAACATGGTGGCAGCGGGAGAGGACTCGGTCTGAGTACGTACTGGTTTACTCCGGTCTGAAGAGTGTCAACTGCTGCTAGGTTGAGCCGCTAGCGCGCGACTCCCGTGTGATTCCATGGAGGGACTTAAGCCGCCACAGACGTTGTGTTTGGGCTCCAGCAACCTCTCTAAAACATGGAAGAATTGGAGGGATGAGTTTGTCCTGTATCTGGATCTAACAATGGCTGAAGCTGACGATAAACAGAAGGTAAAACTGTTCAGCTATCTTGTCGGCGAGAGTGGCAGAGAACTTTTGGATACCCTGATGGGCGACACAGCTAGGGATGCATGGAGGATAGAGGACATCGTCACAAAGTTTGATGATCATTGCAACCCCAGGGTGAACGAGATAGTCGAACGCTATTGTTTCTTCACGAGAAATCAGGGCGCCAGTGAAAATATAGACAGTTATGTCACTGAACTGAGACTGCTGGCCAAAACATGCAACTTTGGGACTTTGAGAGACTCGCTCATTCGTGATAGGATTGTGTGTGGTGGTAACAACACGATCATGAGAGAAAGGCTGCTGCGGGAGAAAAACTTGACACTGGACACATGTTTACAACTGTGCAGAGCAGCAGAGCTCTCCAAGGAGAACGTTAAAACCATCACCGGGCCGATGGTTGAAGAGGTGCATGCCGTGCAAGGGGCACAGTACCAGTGGAAAGGCAACAACACAGTGGAGTGTAAATTCTGCGGAAGAACACACGAAAGGACCAAACAGAAATGTCCGGCGTTCGGAAAGAAGTGTGCAAAGTGTGGCAGAGAGAACCACTTTGCAGCCAAATGTAAAGCGAAACCAGACCAAAGGAGGAAGAAAAATGTGAGTACAATAGCAACAGAATATGTGAGTGATGAATATGTTGATATAACATGTATCACTGTGACAGACACTGAGATAGTGGATGCAGTGGAGACGGACTTGGGCAAAGATGAAGACCCAGAGAGAGAACAGGATGTGAAAGATAACACTGTTAAAGAGGACACTCAGCTTCTATATGCTGGTATGCTACTAGGCAAAGACATGGTCAAGTTCCAAATAGATTGTGGTGCTAGTTGCAACATCATCCCCATTAACCTGCTGAATCCAGACACCGAGCTGGAACACACTAAAAGTGTACTAGTTATGTACAACAAAAGCAAGCTGAAGCCAATGGGGAAATGTAAGATTAAAATAAGGAATCCAAGAAATCACAAACTATATCGCTTGGAGTTCCAAGTGGTGAACACAGACGGTGCAGTGCCTCTGCTGGGTCGGAAAGCCAGTGAGGCGATGAAACTGATTAAAGTGCACCATGAGAATATCATGGCAATGGACAGTATAATCACAACAGGAAAACCGAAAACAGGGTGGACGATGGAACAAATCAAAACAAGGTATGCTGACGTGTTCACTGGAGATGGCTGCCTTGGAGGAAAATACAAGATGGAGGTGGACAGCACAGTGAAGCCGGTGCAGCTGCCAAAGAGACGGGTTCCAGTGGCCCTGATGAAACCACTGAAGGAAGAGCTCAGGGACCTGCAACACAGAGGGATAATCACTCCTGTAGAATGCAGCACAGACTGGATCAGTGCTATGGTGGTAGTACAGAAACAGAATGGCAAGCCAAGGGTCTGTATTGATCCCAAACCCTTGAACAAAGCACTAAAACGCAGTCACTTCCCACTTCCAACCATCGAGGACATCTTACCGGATTTGTCAAAAGCTAAAGTGTTCACAGTGTGTGATGTCAAGAGTGGATTCTGGCATGTACAGCTGGAGGAGGAGTCCAGCTATTTGACAACGTTTGCCACTCCATTTGGAAGGTACAGATGGCGGAGGATGCCGATGGGGATAAGTCCGGCCCCTGAAATATTCCAGAGAAAGCTGACACAAGCGCTGGATAATGTACCTGGTCTGTTCATTATAGCGGATGACATCCTGATCACAGGACAGGGGGAGACACAAGAGGAAGCGGAACGGGATCACGATGAAAAACTGAAACAGTTTCTCGACAGATGCAGGGAAAAGAACATAAAATTGAATGCAGAAAAATTCAGACTGCGACAGAAGGAGACCACATACATTGGACACCGCTTGACGACAGATGGACTCAAAGCGGATCCTGAAAAAGTGCGTGCTATCGGGCAGATGCCAGCACCGACGGATGTAAAAGCAGTTCAGAGGCTGATAGGTATGGTTAATTACCTCACCAAGTTTTGCCCACACCTCTCAGACCAATGCAAGGTATTGAGAGACCTGACACACAAGGACAGTGAGTGGACATGGACAACAGAACATGAGGAGGCATTCCTCAACCTGAAAGAGACAATTGCGAATGCTCCAGTATTGAGATATTACAACCCTGAGGAGGAGCTGACAGTACAGTGTGACGCTTCAGACACAGGTTTGGGCGCAGCACTGATGCAGATGGGAAAGCCAGTCGCTTTCGCAAGCAGGGCACTTACACAAACTGAGGGGCGCTATGCCCAAATAGAAAGAGTTTTTAGCAGTGGTTTTCAGCATGGAGAAATTCCACCAATACACATATGGCCGCAAAGTCACTGTACAGAGTGATCATAAGCCGTTAGAAACCATTGTACGCAAACCCCTGCTGAGTGCACCCAAAAGGCTGCAGAGCATGATGCTGCGCATACAAAAATATGACTTGGATGTCATTTATGTGCCTGGGAGAGACATGTTACTGGCCGACACTCTCAGCAGAGCTTATCTTCCTGAGAGTACACCGGTGGAAGCTGAGCTGGAGACTGTCAACATGGTGCAACACTTACCGATCTCCTCAGACAGACTACATGACATAAGGTCTGCCACAGAAAAAGACACCACATTGCAGCTTCTCATTAAAACAATGAGCCAGAGATGGCCCAAGGACAAATCACAGGTACCGAGTGAAATCAGGCCTTACTTCTCATTGCAAGGAGAATTAAGCCACCAAGATGGAATAGTCTTCAGGGGTGAGCGTGCCGTAATTCCTGACAAGCTGAGATCAGACATCACTGGTCGATTACACTCATTGCATCTGGGTGTTGAAGGATGCCTACGTAGAGCTAGAGAGTGTGTCTACTGGCTGGGCATGAACGACCAGATTAAGACGTATATAGCCAAGTGTGATATCTGCAGGTCGATGGACAATAAACAGCAAAAAGAAACATTGATGTCACATGAGGTTCCAAGCAGGCCATGGGCGAAGGTGGGCACAGATCTGTTTGTGTTTGACAACAAGAACTATCTCATCACTGTGGATTATTGGTCGAACTTTTGGGAAATAGACTACCTGGTAGATACCAAATCCACCACAGTGATAAAGAAACTCAAAGCTCATTTTGCCCGCCAAGGCATTCCAGATTCAGTGATGTCAGACAACGGCCCACAATACGCGTCCCGGGACTTCCAAAAATTCTGCGAACTGTGGGGATTTCAGCATGTGACCTCGTCACCTGGCTACCCGCAGAGCAATGGCAAAGCAGAATCAGCTGTCAAGACGGCAAAGAGACTTCTCATGAAAGCCAAAGCAGCTGGACAGGATCCTTATCTTGCAATTCTGGACCACCGCAACACACCGTCACAGGGCCTGGATAGTAGCCCAGCAGAGCGACTACTCAGTCGCCGTACCAAACACTGCTGCCAACGAAAGCAACCCTGCTCAGGCCAGAAGTCATTCAGGTCAGCCAGAAGCTGAAGAACAGGCAGCAACGTCAGGGTACATATTACAACAAATCAGCGAGAGACTTGGACACACTTGCCACGGGTGACTGTGTGAGGATACAGCCACTCCCACCCAACGCTGTCTGGAGACTAGGCAGGGTGCTGAAGCCAGTTGATGGGAGGTCCTATGAGGTTCAGTTGCAATCTGGAAGTGTCATTAGGAGAAATCGCAGACACCTCAGGCGTGCACCTGGTGTGACCTTTAGTGACCCTCTCGATATGGAGATCAGCATTCCCAGTCAGCCACAGGCTGTGAGACAGGAACCTGCAGAGTCTGTCCCTGTCCCCCACAGGATCGCAACAGAACATGCACCCAGAGACACTGGTGGCGGAGACACCCCTGTCACGACCAGAGCCGGGCGTACAGTGGTGCAGCCACGGCGATATAAGGACTGTGTGGTATCATGCAGATGAATGCTGATGTTTACATGCACCTGACACGTGAAAAGTGTACAAGCACAAAAGTTATGGTTTATTTGATATTGTTGTGATCATTTGCACATTTCATGTTCGTAGCGAATGGTTGAGTGTTATCTCACTGTGAAATTGGTGATGCTGTGTTTTTAGTTTTTATAGGCTATGTTCATCAGTTGCTGAGAGAAGGTTTTATAGATGAGCATATTGAATTGTTTATAATTTAGCATCAAGCAGTGTCAGTGTCAGTATTATAATCTTGCTTGTTGGTCACAGGCAAATGTTGAGATAACAGCTCTAACTCAGAAAAGAGAAAGGATGTAACAATAGGAACTATAAGTAGGAACTATTGTTTAGTTCCGTGAGTCACACGGACTGTTATTGTGAAACACTGCCTTGTAACCAGACCGAGCACGATGGACCGTACACGCGACGTGAGAATGTATTAAAGTTTACAACCCAGTGAGGAGAGACCTGAAGAGTGTCCTCGTGTTTACGATTAAGCACCCCATTATAACAACATAGTTTAAGTGATAAAATGTAAGAGTACAATTACTAATTAATAATATTTTGAAAATAAATCATAAATGGGGAGAGTTGTGCCACTGGCACAAATCGCCCCAGTCTCCCATACACAAACTTCTCCATATATCACAGGTCGGGCGTCGCCGGCGTTGCGCACCTCAAAATTCCGCTGTACTCGTTAGTTGCTTTTTTTTTTTTTTTTAAACAATAACTACGTCACAGGTTTCGGCTTCAATCAAGTTAAATCAATAAAAACTCACGTGCTAAGAAGAAGAAGCCGGCGGAGAGTCGCATCGTTCCTCTTGAAGAGGACCTCTTCTCAATCTTCTCCTTTTAACGCCACCTCGCCTTCTTCTTCTTCTTCTTCTTCTTCTTCTTCTTCTTCGGCTTTTTATGGCGGTTGGCAAACAACTTTGGCATTACCGCCACCCACTGATCTGGAGTGTGGACTTAAGAAAAAAAACCTCTACTACGAACGAAAACAAAAAACAAACAAAAACAAAAAAAACACAACTCTCAAATTCTATTCATTAATCTTGTATCCTTGTATTACTATGTTTCCCAACCACATAGAGGGAACTGTTAAGACCGGTTTGGCCATTTCTTATTCTTGTCATTACCCTCTACTCTTTTTGTCCACTAGCTCCTACACTCCCAACCAATGGTTTGTTTTTAAACACATAGGCCTATCTCCCTTTGCTCCCTTTGTTCCATCCATTCTGCCCATATCTTTTTGATTTGTCCCTTAAATCAACTAACTCACTAACTAACGACCCTGCCCCAGTAACTTACATTATCCGACCAAGTGAATGTGCAGTCGGGCTCATTGACATCTGGCACACGTGACGTGTCTGAGACGTTGTACTCAGTTTGATCAGAGAACCGTGAGTGAGGCGAGGTGGTGCACTCGATGCTCCATGAACATCCAAACTGTAGAAAGTAAACTGGTTGTCCATGGCTGGCTAGCTCCTGTAGCAACACAAGCGGTAAGCTACCGTTAGCTGCTGGCATCAGAGTGTAAATAAAGTTTTTCAATCGGACATCTGCGTCGATCTTTCGGTCCGGTAGGTACCGGTCGCATTGGAACCGGTACCTAATTACCTTGCGCGGAAACTATCATATATTCCAATTAGAGCCTAAATGGCTGCATCGCCCGGCGTTGCGCACCTCAAAATCCGGCTTTCACTCACCTGTGCGGTCCTTTTAAAAAAAGCAATAACTACGCCACAGGTTTTGGCTTCAATCAAGTTGAATCCATAAAAACTCACGTGCTAAGAAGAAGAAGCCGGCGGAGAGTTGCATCGTTCGAGGTGAACGTGCCGAAGACACACTGACGTTGTGTGACAAACTTCCAACAACACGACACCGAGTTAAAGGGTCTGTCTGAGCATAAGGCATTTACGGAAACGCCCAAAATACTCAAACTGCAGAAGAGAATATTTGACCTGTAACATTTTTAGTGGATGGAGCTTCAACCTGGAAGCATCTCACTGGATCCACTTCAGGAGGGACTTTGAATTCCGACATTTGTGTTGACAAGACTCGCACAACAAAGATGCATTAATAAACACCACACACGAACAGTATTACTTTTATTGAATGGTATGTAAATTAATGAATAAAATAAAATTCATACATAAACAAATGCCAAAAAATAACACTGGAAACACTTTCCGATAAAAATAAAAATGAAAGTAAATGCAACAATATAATTTAACATACAGTGGGAGCGTGGTAATAGAACACATTAAACCGTTGAACTTGTTTTTTTTCCCTGTCAGTCACAGGTAATGAATGCATTTTGCTGACATGGGCAAAGGAGCCGAAACCAGGTGAAACAAACCCGTCCGGTTTGCCGGTCCTCTCTACGAGCAGGAGAGGGACTTTCTAACCATTTCTGGGGAAAAACAAAATGAATCCACTGTGAGTGAAAGCTAAAAACAAGGGGATATGAAAAGAGTAGAGGCATTGAAGCCTGGATAATGGGTTTGATGCATCTTGACATTAAATATGGGCTTTTTAAAGTGAATGAATGCCAAGTGTGAAAATTGATTTTTGAATAAAAAAATGTAAAAAAGGGGAAGGAAGAGGGATTGTCGTTTTGTTCTCATCCATTTTCGCTTTCCCACACAGACGATCTTTGACACCATCTCTTCATTTTTCCCCCCATACAAAGGCTGAATCCTTGAAGTGAGTAGGTAGTGACCGTCTTTCATCCTATACTGGTGACCTTTCCCTCTAATCCAGCTCGAACTTTAGGTGAATAAAATGAGACAGCACCCTTTATGACCCGATTCAACCTCAACACGCCGTACTTCTCTCAGCTCACTCTGTACATTTATTTAATGTACACACACACACACACACACACACACACACATACACATTTCATGTAATGCCATGCACACAAGCGCATACCATAAACACATTACTAACAGTAACTGGTTAAACAGACACAAAGGAAGTAACACATAGAACGTAACAAACATTAAATGACTGCATGTTTTGTTTTTTCATAAAAAAGGGGTATATTGGTTTTGGTATTGCTTTGGCCTGTTCTGTGAGCCGCCTGCTCTTGTTGTCCTCCTCTGGTCCACGAGATGCAGAAGCATCAGGAAGCCACCGGACCGGACCGCCGAGACGCACGCCGGCAAAGGAGGAAGCTGGGAAGCCTCAGACCGATGTCTCAAACCATGTCTGTCCAGCTTTCCCCCCCCCATCATGTGTCCCCTTCCCTTACGCTCCTTCAGAAGGCGTCCTTGTGCGTGGTGAAGTCTGTGTCCTCCGGGTCCCATCTGCCTGGGGACAGGCACTCTTCAGTGTTGAAGTCCTGAGGGTTTACCCCAATGTCCAGGACCTGGGGGTTAGTGCGAGACTCAGCGAGTCTGGAGAAACAGAAGGGGGGGGACATTTTATTAGCAACCGGCAAAACAAAAATCAGAGCAGTGATCACTGTTAATTATAATGCAACCCATTATATTCAAAAAGCTCGTGAACACCGGTAAGTGCGGTGTGTGCGCGCTGGGTATGGACATGAGCAGGACTTAGAAAACACAGCGGCATCCATTTATTAGGAAGAAAAAGTAAAAAAAAAAAAAACATATGGCAGTGACATTCCGCGCTACCACGACCCAACATGCAAAATGCCGTGTCGGACCAACACGTGAGCACACGGCGCTTTCATTCATCTCTCATGTGCAAAGCTGATGGATGTGAGGCGGAGACGCACAAAGACACTCGTGATGAGGACACACCGGACCATCGGGTCGTGTGGTGGTGTGAAGCCCGGGGATGACGGTGAGGAGTTGAATGTTTTTTATTTTTTTATTTCCTCGTTGATGGTGACGTGACCTTAAAAAGAAGGCGTGAAAACTAGATGAGTCTGAATCGGACAGATGACGGTTGACTAGGGGGAGAATGAGGTGGAAGTCACTGGATCCAGTGAGGGACGTCGTTACCTGAGTAGGATTCAAAGCTATCCAGACTGCGGCTGGGGGGGGGGGTGCAAAGGAAACATCACAAGTCAGGCAACAAATGAACTACTCTGAGCAGCCTGACAATAAAGGGAGTGAAGTACATCAATGTGGCCTCAGAGGGATTTCATGCAGAGATTTTTATGATTTCACACAAGGCCGTAACATTGGGGATTGAGTACAATTAGAAAACCGGCCCCTTATAGCCTCACATCTCAGTTGATAATATAAGCACATCAAACCGGCGGTTTTAACAACGTGCGTCCAGCAGAGGACAGTGCAGTCCCTCAAACAGCCGAAGGAACCCTGCCAACCACGGATCTGTATCTGCAGCTCACAGGCAAAAGTGGACAAAAGAGAATTTAAATTGTTTTTTGTGTTGCCCTCAACTTGCTGCCCGTTGCATGATCACTATTTTGTGGAGACAATAAAGTACTTTGTTAGAATTTGGTGGATAATCAGTTGTAAAGCGTAAAGAATGAAAAACATAAACCTATAAAAGTAGGTGTATATATGGGGCGTGTGTTTCTCAATCTGAAATAGTTTACAACCAGTGGATGAAAATAATCTGGGTTTTTATTTCAAATAATATTAATATGTAGTTCAGTTAAATTCTCAGCTAAAACCGTATGTGACCCACGTCTACTATCAGATGTCATGGTTTTAACCATCATTCGTGAATATTCTAATTCTCTCATCCCCTTTCTACCCCAACATCACCCAGTGCAATCAGGTTCTCGTGGTGGACGCAGATGTCAACATGGACGTCGGGCCTCCCCTCCTTCAATTAGAGAAAGCCACGCGTGGACGTGTCGGCGTCTGTGCTGGGAGCATCCTCATTAGCAGCAGAGTGGGAGATTAAAGGGGGTCAGGGTGTAATTACACTGCGTGCAGACAAATACTCATCTGATAACGGGCCTGAAACGGCCTCTTAGAGCTCGATTACAGACTTTGAAGACCGTCCTCCCTTTTGCTATAAGAAAATGGCAGATTAAGAAGCCCACTGTCCAATTAGCAGCCCAGATGAAAAGGCACAAATAAACAACATGTTAAATGAGTCCCACCCCCACTTACTACTGCTCGTGTAATTCCACTGGCGCTTTTTGTTACCGCAGGGCAGAAGAACTTACCTCCCTGTGGGTTTGTGATATAAATACGGTGCAGTGTGTCCCCGCGCTGCACTCATTTGTAACCAGCGGCTTCCTCCCTCAGATGAGGCTGCCCCCATCTGAGGGAGGCAGCCTGCCAGAGCAGCGTGACTCAGGACGGGTGTCGCTCACCTACGTCAGCCGCCTGTAAACTGAGCGCCCCTCGCTCGCTCCCTGCCCGTGGGAGAGGCTGCGTTTCTTATAGAACCGCAGCTGGTTATTTTCCACAACAGCCGCCTGTTGGGTTGCTACGGGAGAGTTTGAGGGGGAAAACACACACAAGCCACAGCGGTTCTCACCTTGAAAAAGCCTCGTCCAGACCGTCCTCCAGCTCCTGCCAGACACACACACAACACACGGGCATTAGTTTAAGACAACGGTCAAGGGATGAAAGGTTCAGGAGATGTTACGGTACAACCACCCACATGGTTCGAGGAGGTCTATCACACCCTCTTCAGCTATGTGACCGGAAGACGAGGCCGGCTCGGTTCAATAGGCTATTGTGCCGCTGTGCGACTGCAAGATAACGTCCTCGAATACCACAGGTAGTACAAGAGTACACCACCGGGCCCCATGGCTATTTAGTCAGCGTCTCCTCCCATCCCATCGGGGCTGAGCGGCTCAGCGGCTCAGACTCTTGTCTTACCCATACAGTATTGTTGTTCTCTGTTGCGTGATTATGCACCATAAAGGGGTCCGACTCCATCTGCTTCGATGCCGAGTGGACCAGCGCCGCGTTGGCTCCCTCCGCCAAATCCAGGAGCCTTGCTGTGGCTACCTCTGCAACATGAAAACACGTTGGATAGATTTAGAGGCAGAGTGAGTAGGGTTTTCCTGAATAAACAACAAGGCGGAGACTCTGTCCTGAGAGTATTTTTCCCATCTAACCGTTTCTATAAAAGAAGTCTGGAGTTGGCTTCCCCCCCCACCGGAGACACAGATCCACACGCGTGCACAACCACATGAATCCTGCCTTCCCACATTCGATAGCATCCTGTAGTTGTAACACTTCAGCGTGGCTATGAGTCCAGGTAAACTTTTTCTTATTAAGCCTCTAATGTGTCCCACCGACGCAGCAATCTGCGGATTGTCACACATGATGAGTGAGGATGGCGTGACCCCCCCCCCGACTCGCACGCCTAACCACGGGGACACCACTGATCTGTAATGGGATTGGCTCCTAATGGCCTTTCCTGATGATTAATGTCTGCCAATAATGTGCATCAACACTAATTTGTGCCTCGTCTAAATACTAATGTTTATCCCCAGAGAACATTGAAAGCTCAACTCTTGCTGAAACCGCTTTCTACGTTCCTTAAAAAGAGAAGCTCGCGCACATTTGATTCAATGAGCATTGCCAGGTCCCTTAAGACTTCTCCGCCCTGTGAACGCGAGCTCAAAGGCATTCTGAATATTCTACTTTGGACAGAAATGCTCAGCCTGTTTTCAAAAAGCCACTATGATTACGCCAATTTGCTTTGGAAAGAAAAGAAAAAAGAAAAGAGAAAAGAAAATACAGCGCGCCAGCGGCCAAAATGACCCAGCGAATGGTGAGCGGGATTAAGTCGGTCCCAGAATCACACAAAGCCTTTCGGTTGCCAGAATCTCAGTTGACCATTTTCAACAGGGATCATCCTTAAAAGCCGCGTCGGCCGTCAAATGCTACATGTTCAAATCAAGTGTCAGAACGGATTTGGAGAGATCTCTATCTCTGGCTGGCGGCCACCTAGCTGGGGGGTGAGGGGCGCTGGGAGGTACAAAGCTGATGCTTTCAGAGTTTCTTGCAAAAAATTTGAAATAAAAAATAGGCTTCAGTCTCAAACTGAAGTCTCTAGTAGCAAATGGATCAGAGTGCAGCTGATGCCCACAGAGTGTGACAGGAAAAAGGCCCGCTGGCGACCACAGGCCCCTCGTCTCATTGCATCCTGGCTACGGACAATACGCGGTGCGGATAATGCCTAAAGGTTGTTTGGCTCACTGGGAGTCAACAGCATGTTCAGAGGCCGTGACCCACGTCCTGGAATCCTAGGAAATCTGATTGAACAATAGGGAGGGGAGGGGGTGCTCTTTGTACAAACAGGACTGGAAATGTGCTTCCAGAAAGAGACTGGCTGTTTGTCCATGGACAGCACGCTCTTTGACAAGCGGCTGAATACTCGTCCCCGGCCCTCACCCCCGAGGCTACGATGACTGTGACGGACAGGAGGAGGACGGGGGAGGGGGGAGCTGGGGGCTGATGGTGGCTGACATGACTCACCTCCTGCTTTCAGGCTGCCCAGGCTGGCCGAGCTGTCCGACTGAGAGTTGCTGGCTCCTTCTCCGTCTGAACCAGACTTCACTCGCTTCTCTTTCTCTGAGGAGGGGGAGGGAATGAAAAAAGCGGGGAGTCAACTGGGATTCAGGAGCTGGACCGACCCACAGGGAAACTGACCAGGCGAACCCTTTTATATTTCATAGCTGCTGAAAATGTCTCCCTAACAAAGTATAGAGCAAATCAGCAGGTTGGATACTGAAAAAAAAAAAAAACATCTGCCAGCTGAAACCAGATTGAAGCGCAAATACTTCATGCAGCAGTTAATACAGTTGCTGGTGCATTTAAATAGTGGGCCTGGCATCTGGGTCACATGGATAACGGGCTCGGCTCCCTCCACACCGTCTCACCTGCAGAGAGGAAGCTTTCCCACACGGTCTCGATCACCACAACAAACAACAGATTTCACAGAATCTGCTGCTCGCTTGAACTCAGCCGTTAAGAAATGATATAAGGCCCTATGAAAATAACTTCATTACAACATTTAAAATGGCGCCTCCCTCATCACACGCATTGTGAGGTACCTAATTGCCATCAGAGGTTGATTCATTACTTCCAATTATACTCACGCTATACTTGGTTCAGACGTAATCAGCACTTTTCTCCTTCACAATAACACTCCATATTGTGAGGACAGGACAGTTTGTCTTGTTCTAGTGCATCATGCAAAGCGTCATCCTCAAATGTTACCGGGAGGCAACTTCTGACGAGATACGAGTGATTCATTCAAGTTAAAGTTAATCGAATGCTTTTACTCCTGGTTCAAGTAGGGCCCCCAAAGAGACGATGTCCTCCTTTAAGCACTTGATAAATACGGGCTTGGTTTACTCACAAATGCATAGAAAAACACTCAACTGTGCCTCCTATTTAATGTGGCTTCACTTCCCAGGATGTGACGGTTAAGCAAAAAAAAGAAAATAATCGCACCACCTTCTTCATACTCTCCCTGAGGGGCCAAGACGATGAGTCACTGGAACTCAGGCTTTGAATCTGTCCATTTCTGTCAAACAACACTTACTGCAAGGAGGTTTCATCATCACCCTTGATCCAAAAAGAAATTATCCCATTTCCCTTGAGCCCAGGTAGCTTAGTGATGACAGCGGTACAAATCTTCCCATGGGAAACTTAATAAAGGTCTGGAAGTTGAAAGCCAGCTGTAGTGTTTGCAGGGAAGGACGACCTGGGAACAGGAGCGGTGATTTGCGGTGGAATGAGGGTCAGGAATGCGTGGTGGGCTGTGCAGAACCACTGTGGGTGGTGGAGGAAGAAGCAGCAGCACACTAGACATATAGTGGATGTCCCCCCTCTGCCTGCCCCCACCTCCCCCCCAGGGACTTCTCACTTAACGTTAGTGAAGGAGACTCAAAAAAGGATTATTTTTCCGCTCTTTCTCCCATCTCCTTTTCTTCTTCTCAGCTACATAAGAGCATCAACACCTTTTCTTGAAAAAAATATATTAAATTTTCCCTCCATAACCTCCGAGCACCTCGGCATCGGTACTCCATCAGCGACACCACCCGAGAAGAACGAGCTCCGCTCGGCAAATTAAACAGCTTATTTGGCGAGGTGGAGAACGAGGTGAAAGAGTGAGGAAGCAGAGATTTTATATTCAACTTAAAAGCTAAGAACATCCAAGCGACAAAGGAGCCTGGTGCCTTGATGTTTAAGGGGGGGGGGTGGTGTCAATTAAAAAATGAATAAAATTGGCAGCCAGATATTTTCATACAGCGCGTGTGTCTCTCTCTAAAGGGCTGAACGAATAAGCTCGCCTCGATGAATGCCTCTCACACTGAATCCGTCAGGGGGTTCAGCTCCCGCTGGCACGCGCACACGATCGTTTTCCTTTCTCTCCAACAGTCGCCACCCCAACCCTCCTCTCCGCCCCGCCTTCCATACTCCCGTGCCCTCGTCCCCCGTCCCCCATCCCCCTCTCCTCATCCTCCTTCAGCCGTTTCCCTTCCTTATCATATGCAGAAGCAAGAGCCGCGATGGGAGGAAGGAAAGAAGGGAAAGAAAATAACTTCATGGGGCGGGTTGGTGGTGGTGGGAGGGGGGGTCTAGCTGCCAGGTGATAAACAAGACAGCAACGAAGGGATAATTACTAAAATTCAAACAGGGACTAACAGGGACAAGGACAGCAAACATATAGAGATGGAGAAGGTGCCTGTGTGGGCTGCGAGGCAGAAACCAACATTATGCGGCAAGAGCCAGTCATTTACTCTGGAGTCATACGTGCAGTAAATTACACGCGTGTAACAAAACAACCTTCACAGCACCTTGATTGCCTGCTGCGTGCATTACCCCCCCCCCCCCAACACCCTGTCCCTACCCAGATGAGTGTTTAACCATGACTAAGTTGTCTGTAATAAAGAGGGTTCACTAAACTAAAAAAAAGGCCTCTCTGATTTATAGCTGATGATTTAACTGAGGGGGGTGGGGGGGGGAGGCATCAGTCACTGGCCATGACCAGGAAGATACCAAACAAATGTATTCCACAAAACCTCAGGATTGTATACAGGACCATCAAGAGGGAAGATAAAGGGTGTGTACAGTAGATGGAGAGGATAACGGGGGTGGGGGGGGGCATTTTCACTCATCCATCACACTCAAGCGGTCGTCGTGGGCGACCATGCGTACCTTCCTTAGCAGCCTGCCAGAATTCAAACGCCACTCTGAACGCCTGGGCCACTGTCAGGGTGACCGCCTGGGCCTGTTGGGGGAGGAGGGGGGGAGACCAGGAAAGAATGAGTGACCGTGATTAAACAACAGGAAGTGACAGAAGAGGCTCCTTCTGAGACACTTGGAGGATACCAGGACTGAATTAGGGAGGGGAAGGAAAGGGAATGGCTGCAAACCCCCAGGGGATGGAGAGAATGCCAGAGAGGGGCGACAGCCGGCCAGCTCCTCGTCTTTCTCCTTCACTTATTACTTGAACATTTGCATACATACGAGTAGAAAAATAATATTTAAAAAAATCTTTTCCCGAGGTCTCTGTGGAACATATTGTCTCACTTTCCACAGATCGCCAGCAGCAGAAGCCAAATGGAAAACCTGAATCCTGCACCATGAGGAACATTTGGAGTCGGCGGCCTGCAGCATTATTTACCTCTACGTGAATGTAAGCAAGAGAGATTTCGGGGCATTTTCTCATTTTCTTTCTTGATAAGAATTGGTTGAAAATATGAAAACCACTTCATGTCTATGTGCTAAATATAAAGCCCAGGTAAGCAGCGATAGAATGAATTCCACTAAAAGTGAAATCCAATAAGTTGACGTTTTATTGAAGGCGATGTATGCAGAAGTATTTCCTGGCCAGGCCGGTAACTCTTTGAATAAACAATGAGTGAGCTTCAATGATTTTTTTTCAATGATGATATGCAGATTCTTTTGACATTGAGCAGCGCTGGGCTTCTTCTTTCCCCTCACATGGTGCCCACTTACAGACTGTGAGCCTCGAGTCACTCCAGCGCTTTGCAACACGTGCTTGCTCGTTTTACGTACCATTTTCCTCTTGGTGCAGAGGAAAGCGTGACACTCCAGGGTCTCGTTGTGCTGGCTCTGGACGATGTAGGCGAACACTTTGTCGTGCATCTTGTCCGCTGTGCAATAGGATATTCTGAAAGAAAAGAATGAAACACGGATGCACGCGGTTTAGAATCCTTTACACTTGTGGGGGCCCCCCACTCCACGCTGTTGAGCTACACCAGCAATCAGACCAAAGCTAAACGATGGCCATGCATCTGAACTCAACACGCGTGCAGACATGACTGTGCTGTCTGCCGTTCCTTTCTGCTTCCTTCCAACAAGTTATTCCATCACTACACCTCCTCTGTGTCCACCCGCTCAACGACCATGGCACATGCCGTTAAATCACTTAAAAAAGGTACACGAATAGACGGTCGGGGCGGGGAGGTCATCTCCTGCGCTGAGCTACGTCCGTGTCCACGCGAGGAAGGCATCAGTGACGCTCGTTCGTCTCAGGTGCAGACTGCAGATTGGAATTAGGCCTTAATGCTCCCTGAATGCCTTTTCTCCACTATCTGATCGTGGTGTTATTTCCCCGGTACCAAAGGGACGGGTGAGCGGAGCCAGAGCCAAAGCGATGGGAGGAAGGTGGTAATGAATGTCTGCCATCTGTTCTTCCTTTCAAATCTCTCAGGGGGAGAGAAACACAATTGGTTCACTAACGACTTAGGAATAGAAGTTGCGGGTATAATAAATGTTTTGGGTTTTTTTTAAAAGAGGGAGGAAATAGTTTGGAAAGGTTCATGAATCGCAGCACAAGATTTACGGGCAAATGTTTTGTAGGGAGCGCGTCTGGGAAATAAGGTGTCCCGGCTAATCCATTTATCTCATTGGCCGTCCATCTTCTGAGCTGATGTCCAGGGAGACAACCAGCTGCTCCATGTCTCCACAGCGTCTCCACTTTTTTCACAATAAAATATTTCAATTGTCCGCACATTCATGTGTACAGGGTAAACGGGAAATAATAATGGATGATTCGGCATTTTGCTAACTGTGGGACCTTGTCAGACGTCAATTAATCAATGGACAAAAATTCTAGCAGTTAAACAACGAACTAATAATCCAAGTTGAAAAAATGCCAAATATTCTTGATTTACAGTTTAGCTCAACTACTATTGAAAGTCAAAACCATCAATTTTAACTATGAGGGGCTATCAAACTATCAGATTAATCATTAGCTGCTACACCAACTCTGAATCCTGTATGCTCACATACGTGTCCTCAGTCCACAAGCTTTCAAGACAAATACTCAACATAAGCCCATTCATGTTTCGGGAGATGATGAAAAAATCCCATTTCTCCTTAATATGAAGACTCATAGATGTGGACTTTTAGAAAAAACATAAGCTCTGGGTCAGTGGAGGTTATGCAGCTTTATGCGTGCAGGCAAGTGAGATGTGTAGGCATTTACTATGGAGAACGTGTGTGTGTGTGTGTGTGTGTGTGTCAATATCAGACATACAGCTGTTCTAGTGCTCCCAAGTGAGTTGAGATTGATCAGACTCAGAGCTGACCAACAAAAGGCCTCTACACAAACAAGATTGATCGGAGCAAATAACGACTTCTCTTTTATCTTGGATGATGAGGACAAGCTTAGGGTGAGGAACATGTTCAGGGATGTGTTAGAATTAGTGGGACCCACAGAGGAGGACTGACCTGTATATGGAGATGTTTTCCATCAGCTGGTTGGAGGCACTGTCGTAAAGGATGATTCCTCGAGGGGAGACCGTTAACGTGACTTTCTGGAGCTTCTTTCCACTGGCTTTGGCCTGGAAGGAAGAGGAGAGGGAGAGAGGAAGCGTGAAGGCCACAGAGAGAAGAGGCTTAGTGAGTGAGAAGGAAATCAGTGTAGCAGAGTTTATCTCATGTTTACATCTTTCTTGCTTTTTTTATGATTTAAAATCAGCCATTCATATTTTCACGTATGGAGAATGTAGCTCAAAAGCTATTTATCTATATCATTGGAGATACGGTAGAGCTTCAAACCATGAAGTGCAGAGCTGCTGGCTTAATTAAATATGATATAAGCAAATTTGGTGATTGAAAAGAAGTTTGTGAAAAAATATGAAGTTTGTGTGTGAGTGAGAAAGACACATCCAAAGCGGACTAAATCGTTTACAGCTACGGCGAATACTTTACTTCTCACCAAGTGATATGTAGGCATGTCTACGATACGGTTCATGATCCCATTCATGATAACATCATTTTTACAGGGACACCAAGGGCAGCCAACAGATTAGACCCAATCAGAGGCTCTGCGTACTGCGCCGGGTCTCCACTTCCACCGTTCTGCTGCCGCTAACTTCATTGTCCACAGAGCTGCCGGCTCCAATGACATTAAGCGCCTTCCACCGTGATGATGAAGCTGGCCGAGCCACACGCGGAGGAACAGCGTCCGGACTAATTGCATCGCCCTCTAAATGTCAGCCTGGGGCCTCGGGGACCAGAGAGATGGCAGCCGACCAGTGACATTTCACCGAGGTGCCATTCAGGTCGGGGCAGAGAGGTAGTGGGGGGGGGGGGGGTAATACAATATAGTAGTAGTCTCTCACCGTGGCCACGATCCTCTTGACGGCGGCGGCGGACAGCTCCTCTCCCTTGGGCTGCTCAACCATCGTGACCCCCAGGTACTTGAGCTGGAACACCATGCCCTCCAGGAGGGTCTCCCTGGTGTCCGTCCAGTTCTCCGGAAGCTCTGCGGAACGAGAGAGGCGCGTCGGTGACAAATAGTATTACGAACAAATGAATTAAGAGACAAGAACATCAATATTGACACTGATAACTGACAGTGAAGCCTTCAGATATTTTTGGGTTTGATTCATGATGCAAAAATAAAAAGGTTAGAAAACTAGCGCCAGACAAAATGTAAAAAAAATAGAGTTTAACTATAACCCGGGTCCTTTATGGTTTGTAATGCAGCACTTCTGGTTGGCATCTTTGGATTGATTTGGCAACACACCTGAAACACTTTTTTTAAAATCTGGCAGCAAACTAAAAATCTCTAATCCAAAAGAAGAAGTCTTTGAGGACTCAACGCTTAGTCCTCCTATAATGACTGACCAAACTGTGCTGTCATTTCCAGTTTTAGGCGAGGGACCCGCTTAGCTGAAGGGATGCAGGTGCTTATTTGCAATTTGGGCTGAAACAATTACAGACTTCAATCCCCACATGAGATGAAGGGGCCGATGGCATTTAGAACTCGTCAAATACAGGTTCAAGATATACGATATAAAAAATGTGCCTCGTGACCGTCTGCCAGAACTCATTTAAAACCCTGCCGGCAAAGCCATTCATAAAAGATGATCTCCTCCAGCGTACGAGACGACGACACTTTATTCAGGACTCAATATTGTACATTTTGCCTTTGGAATGAAACTCTGCGGCTGTGGTTTTTCATTTCTTTTATCAGAGGAGGCGACGGGCTTCTCTTTGTGTCACACCAGCAGGAAGAGCGCCGGGGAAGCCGCACAGTTGGAGAAGTGAGAGAGAAAAAGAAGAAGATCAACTCGTGTAAACATGCCTTCAATGCGACACCAAGCCAACGGGGGGTGCGGTTCTGATGACTCTCCACAACAGGAACTCGGCAAGACGTCGGCATTCAAATCGCTGAGGATTTATGAAATGTTCACACAACGAAACGCCTCTTGAGTATTCAGCCACTCGCTCGGACAATAAAAAGAGGCTGACTTCTTCTCACCCGGCTCATAAAAGGTTTATGGACCTGCCACTATGACGTGTGTGTGCGTATAGGCGGGGGGGGTGGGGGGTGTCACCCAGCATCTTCAGGGTAATCAAAGGAGAATCCCGCACCACCGTGTTTCTGTCCAAGGGGAATAAAAAGGCTTCTGCTGTGTGGAGGTCTCTCTGCGGAGGACGAGTTCGCCGTATCGTTTGACTTTCTTTTACGCACACACTTATACTTAAGTTGCTGGAGAAGGCAGAAAACTGGCTAATACGCCTCAAAATGTTACCACCAGACAATACTATACGTCTCCTTACCAACCAGAAGTCAGTCCAGTGAGTCAAATGTTCTATATTAATTCATGTGTACTCTGAACACTAATAATTGGCTTAGGAGGTCATATCGTTAAGGGAACCACTTTGAAACAGTGGAAAAGGTTAACCTACAATATTGCTTTTCTCCGCCAGCCAAACCGAGCCCCCCGGGAGCGGATCTGGAGACTCATAATCGTCTAAATGCAGCTCTACCCAAACCCATACTTAAGTAATGGGCGGGTCTGAAGTGAACACCCGCTCTAAGAAGGTCATGGTCTTGGAGCTCCTGAGTGGAGGGAACACATCTGATCCCGTGGTTACATTAGATAGAAAGCCCCCCCCTCGCTGTAACATAACCTGCGGCGAGGAATCATCAGCTCCAACTCGTCACCTAAATCAACTTACCGAGCAGTGAGAGTCCATTATGGAGGGGTATCCACTTAGGACTCAGCTAACCGAGCGCCTGTTTGTAAAAGCCAACGAGTCTTCAGAGGGTCCGATCGTGTCAACGAAATGTAAGAAAGTGGAGCGGAGATAGCAGAAGGCAGCCTGTGTACTTCATCTGTCCAAACGATCACTTGTAGGGGGCCGAGGGAGGGGGGGCGGGGGTCTCTGGGAATGACCAGCAGTTAACCCCCGACTGCAGAGTCTCAGGAATCGCCCTTCCTGAGAGGTCCTGAGGAAGCCAATGGAGGACCAGACAACGCTAACAAAAGGGGTATAAATATATCCTGCCTAAAGCACACGAGGAGATCACTACTACATCCCGTCAAAATAACAAGAAAAAAACATGCAATGGTAGCGGGCAATTAAACAATCTGTTAAAAAACGTGATGGCTCAAATGAGCAACTTACAAACCGGAGATATTTTTAGATTGGTGCAAATACCCAGAGTGCTGCTTCGTATGGAATGATAATCCGTTTTCATATTGGTCACATTTTCATTCACACACAACTCCACAGCCCCCCTCCACGCTCTCTGTGTCTGCGGCGCTGAATAAAGCAAACTTCAAAAAGGAGTCCTGGACCGCGGCGGGTCATTGAGCCGGCTGGTGGAAGGGGTTTGTTTAGCCAATAAATCGCTAAAATATTAAGCAAGCAACTAGTGAGGCGGTGGGGTTCTTGGCACCCCTAAACACACAACATAAATATCCACCACGCTACATCGGAGACGCTCACCCCGGACCAGAGAAGCATGATATGGATGGAGACTCTGATAATATCTGCCGGGTGGCTGGAGAGTGATGGGGGATTGAAGAAAAAAAGAATTGACCGCTCCTGGCATCTGTCAACCTTGGATTAAGTCCCAGATGACACAAATCTTATCAGGGGACAAATGGTCTAAATAAAGACTTTCTTACATAAAGGCCCCAGAGATTAAACTGTACCAATTGTCTTTGCCTTGTTGTTGGGTTTTAGTAACGGGGGAAGAAAACAGACTTGGGGCTCAAAAGAAATCCGTGAAACATACCTCATGTACAAGTTGTCCAGGTTCTTCTTCAGCATACAGATAGTCACAAACATGTATGATATTAACAGCCTCATCAACTATGTTTTGTAGGCTGACTTGCCTTTAAAGTCAAAACACTTTCAGAGAGCAAGTCTCAACCCTCAGCGAGGGAAAGACCAGCGGGACAAAGAAAGTACGTGCAGCTACTTCCTCGCTTTGAGGTCCACCTCACCGGAAATCTACCAGCCTGTGGAGTAACTAACACACAGACAACCAACGCAGACCAGTTCAACACACCAAAATAAGACACTACATCAAACGTAGCAATAAGAGCCATGTCACCACAGCAATGTTGTTGTTTTTTAGCAATGGTAAGACCTTACTAACACTGTCACAATGAGTTAAACAGAAATGTCTTATAGTTCGAAATGTCTTTCATTTCAATTTTATGTCCACAAGGACTGTAGTATGTACGTTGAATAAAGACAAAAACCCCTCTCAAAATGTGAAATAACTACAAAGGGTACGCGGAAAAATGACACGGCTATGCCTTATCCGGCAGTGTTAAAGAAAGGAAGAACTGGGGACTACCTGGCCTCTTTCATCAGACTCCTGTGGAAGACAACGCCTCGGAAAAGTCTCAGCCATCCTTTGAATCTCTGCAGACGTCCCATGAAGTTTTAATGACGCTAAAGCTACAAAGGGTGTCGCGCCCTTTGCGAATTTTGGAGAAGCGGAACGGCACAGAGGTCTCGGGAACTATAATCTTATTAGGAGATTTGAAGGATGAGCCTGTGCAGGTGGGAGGGGTGTCGGGTGTTTTGGTCAAAGCCGACGCAAAAAGGAGATGGAGCGATTTGGACACGGGAGTGACAAGAGAGGATTTGCCATCGCTCTCCCTGTCAACAGCAGGCGAAGGCGACTAATGAGGTCTTGCCTCTGCTTCAAGAAGCAAACAGACAGACATTTGGTGGAGGAGAGACGGGTGGAAGCTGCAGGAGGTCCACAAATGAGGGGGAAAATACAACTTAAGAAGAAAACAGAAATGAGAGACGAGGCGATGGTGGAATGAGGTCAGATAGCAGGGAAATGTGAGCCAACAATCCCACCATAAACTGACACAATAAATGTCATAGACAATTAGAGAAGCGTTTTTTTAACCATCCCCTACGTCTCCCTAAGTAACAGCCCAGCATGGTGATGGAGACAAAAATCAGGGCTGAAACCAGCTCACTCCTCCTCGCTCTCAGTGAGCAGCTGATGCGAGTGTGACTGCAGACCCACGCAGTGATTAACTTTCACACAGTATCATTCAACAAGTGATACCAGATGACGTCAGCGGGGCTGTGATCGCAGCTATGAGTAAGCCACAGAAGGTATATATATATATATAATATATATATATATATATATATTCAACATTTTCAGATGCTAGGGGAAGGGACGAGGACTACAGCAGCGGGGTCCCAGCTTGGTTTAACTAAACAGACACAGTCAAAGCCCCCCGCCCCCCCCCCACCACCGCTCCGGCAGCAGGCCCCACGAGTCGAGCCTGCCGCATTAACAACCCCCCCTTTTGTTGAGGTCTGAAAGGAGCCTCTGGGCACCGAGAGCTCTTTGTGCCGTTGTCGCATTGTCATCAGTGAGGAGAGTGAATCCCGGCGCACACTTGTGGTTACGCTTGTGCCGCCCACCGGCATAGTTTCTCCTTAACTAGTTTGACGTGCGCATCAGCTGTGGGGGCTTCAGTTATCCCAAAACATAAAGCCCCGCGTCAAAAAAACAGGGCGTAAACCCTCGCTCTGGTTGGAGACGTGAGTCATTATGGAATGTCGGGGAAAAGGTGTGTACTGCAGCGGACTCTGACGGGGTCCTCTCAGAGGATCAGTGTTTAATGAAGAACGGAGGGGGGGGGGCATTCTAAAACAACCTTCGTAAACAAAAGTAGCATTGAAAATATCACCATTTCCCAGTATGATAGAATTCACCAGAGCTCAATGTGCTTATCTAAGGGATCACCTGTAATGACCATCATCTTATCTTCACACAATGACATGAGCAAAAAGAAAGAAAAAAAAAAAAACCTATTGCAGCATTAGATTGTAATCGGGACACTTTGTGCTAATTTAGAAAGTGCAGACTCAGATGAGGAAACGATGCCTGCAGGGAGACACAGAGACGCAGTACAAAGCTTGTTCGGAGAGTCATGGGCAACCTCCAACTAAGCCCCAAAAAAGTGTTGTCCTACATTTCCTCTGCTTTTCCTTGGCGTCTTGTGTGCCGACCAGGCCGCTGCTGTCAGTGCGACTCTGAGACGAGCACCGTCATCACCATTATGGGAAGAGGGCTGAGATGGAGCGAGGCCGTGTGTGTGAGTGAGTGAGAGTCAAAGTGAGAACGTGGGTGTAGGCATACAGTCCATCTCCGCCTGGTCCGAAGGCTGATCCGGTTCTGTTGTTCCACCTTCTTCGTGTCAGCTGTTTTACATACCCTCGGAGCGCCGGGTCAGAGCCGTCCTGCGCGAGATACACAAAAAGCGATCGATGCATACGACCACTGAGACATAAAACCACAGGGAGGTTCGCTCAAGGAGAAATCAATACAAAGTAAGTAAGATGAAGAGTCAGTGAGGATCCATTGTGTCCAGCACCCTGTGACCCCTTTCCTCCCCGACCTTGGGCACCGCTCTCAAACGCCAGCAGGCCCATGACATTCTTAAATATCCATGTTGATGAAGGACTCCCAATAAACACAAGCTAGCGATTTGTATTTTTGACAACCAGCCAAAACAATTCCAGTTGGGTGATAGAGAGGATTTGCGACGGATGGCAGTCGTGGCTTTAAGTCTCCCGACATTGCCACACGTGTCTTTCGGTATTGGCCAAATCCACTGATGGAAGAAAAGTGAGGAGAGGGAGAGGGAAAGGCAATGGAGTCGTCCTGCCAGTCAGGGATTACAGCTGATGACCAGCTGAGGCCAGAATGTACTCGCAACAGGAGGCAGCGTTATGAAACTGATCCTGAAAAGCACTCCATGCACAGCCACGCTCACCCGGACGAGCTGTTGGTTGCCGCGGATGTTCTACTTGCAAATAAAGATCCAGATGGGCTGGCATATCTCCAGTCCATGCAAATTAGCGACATGTATACATGGATTAAGGCATTAGCTCCGTACCTCTGCTGGGTTCCTGCTTGCTTGCATGTTTTATGCAACACTATCAAACCACCGCATTTTTTTGGGCAGATGTAGGTTTTGGGTTTTTCTTCACGTAGACGGGTGCAGCTCAAGCTCCTCCTCCATTAAGAGCAGGTTTTAGTGGCCACGTGGTCCACGTGGGCCTCGTGGTCCACGTGTTAACCCTTGGGCTGAGGAGCGCACCTCTTGTAGAACGGGTTTGAAATGCGGGTCCACACAGATTTACGTGATTGGGATCCTGGGATTTTTAGAGATGTGCAAGTCACCTTCAAGGTTTTTTCCATGGGCTGTAAAAAAAGGATTTAGGCAGCGGTGGAAGACACACGGGTGCAGGGGGAGAAAGACTGAGCGGTAATGGAATCTTCCATTCATAAAAATAACAACACTCCCGCAGGGATTTCATCCTCCAGCTGAGTTTGGGGTGGGTCTTGTTTCACAACGAAAAAAAGTGATTGCATCGCTCCACCGGTGTTGGGGGAGAAGAAGTTTCACAAGCCACTTTTGGGTTTCGTTCACATACACCCAAAAGGGCTCCAAAAATGTCCACAGATAGACCAACAGATCGGAGTGGCCATGCGTAAAATTTGGCCTCAAGGCCGTCTGGGTAGTTGCAGGGGTGAGACGCCGCTTTTGTTCATCTCGTTTCCTCCTGTTTTCTTGGGTGGTAAACTTCCTGTATATTATTTTGTTAATTTTGGGAATAGGTAAGCTAGAATATTAATGAAGACTGATATGTTATTGTTTTGGGCCAGGCTGATCATGAACTAATAATTAAATATTGTGGACCGTATGGCAGCAGCACTGGTCCTTATTTGGCTACGGTTTCCATTTGACCGCGCGAAACAAGATTAAAACCCAAATGAATTTGGAATTGCTGGGGTCTTTTGAGGGATTTCCCCCTAATTTATTTAGCCTTCTGACGATGAAGCTGAAGAGCTGAACTAGCACACTGACCATATGTCTACACATATGGCTGAAGGAGATCACATCAATTATTTCTTCTCAGAAAGGTGACGTGGCGAGCCACTGACTCCCCCTCCGGCTTCACAGAAATCATCTTTTAAAGTTGTCCCAAATTTGAAAAAGTGGGTCAAAAAAAATAAACAATTTTATGTATATTTCCTTGAATAATCAAACAAAAAAGTTGGTTAGCAAAGTTAGTTTTCTAATTTAGTCCGGGGCATGAATGTGTATTAATTATAATTCATCTTTTGGAGCGATTCGTGCACTCTGGGCTAAAAGAAAGAGTGTTTACTTTGAAATAATAAACACTCGGGAATAGATGTACATTGCGCTCATCACAGGCAAATTAATGCAACATAGCCCAGCGAATAAGAGATGAAAATTGATTGCCTCCCAAATTAGTCATACGGCAATTTACCGCTCAACTTAGCCCAGTTCCTGGTGTGGCGATAACAATTTTAATGCTCAAAAAAAAGGATCTTATTTTATTCTGCTGTAACAAGAGAACAATTCCTCTGCAGGATTTGAAAAAGGTCCGCTGGGAGGAACAGTGACAGGGCATTATCGTGCAGTCCCGTCCACACGCAGAAGCTTACAGACACAGATGACCCCAAACAGGGGCATAAATCAGAGGGGGTTTTACAACTCCATAAAGAAATACTGCAGCAAGCAATCTGGGATAGGGCCCTGCGGCGCCAGAGCGCTACATGGTCAGAAGTGGAGTGGGAAATAAATAATACACAAATTAATTAAAACAAATTAAAAAGACACTACTAAGAAGCTCCTTTCGGGGGGAAAAAAGCTACTGAATGGGCGGACTGACATCGTCAAATGTAGCTGCCACAATATTGATAACCCGACAGGACCGGGTCCTTGACCGGGGACGTGGGAGGGAAACCGTCTCACTTCAAGACAGACGGGGATTTTCTGCCTCAGTGACGTTTCAGGCGGAGAAGAAACGAGCCTAAACGACTTAGAGATATGGGTGATGTTACATACAGGGGGAACTTTTCAGCAGCTCAGCTGACTGCCAGAGAGGCGGCAGGAAATTACATAGCTGACACATTCTTGGCTGTGCAGACTCAGGAACCGGACAACAAAAAGCTCTGAGACAAGGGACGTGGGTCAGTTGTATGAACACAATGTTGGAACAAGTTATGATCCAACACTGACTGCGGGAGAAGAGGAATGCAATGCTGAGACGTCAAAAAGAAGATAGGCTGCCTTGACAAAAATCCAAGCATGTACTGGAGGGAAAGAGGAAGGAAAGACAACCTTACTGGAGATATGAAAGATTTTTTCTTAAATTGATGAGGCGACAACATCTACACATACAACCCGTGCCAGAAGTCACACAATTAGAAAGGAATGAATACGATTTGTACTGTATCTGGATTAGTCTCATGCATAAAACACAACACTGGACACCATAGGATGAAACGAGATGCCTAGTTTAGTCATGTTCACTGGTGCCAACTGGCATACAGTTAGAAGATTGATAAAAATAAAATAAATAAGAAAGAAAAACAGAAAGATGGACAGTTCACAGACGAAACAGGAAGCTCCAATGAATAAGCAACGTGGGTGAAGAAACGATACGACGGATGTCCCATCGGTCTCCAGTCACAGGACCTGAATCTGTCCGCCTGTGCAAGCAGCAGAGATTGGATGTAGAGGCACGGCACAGCAGGGAATTGATTACCCGCCATCAGGATCATGCAGATTGGGCACCCTTTCCTGTTTTGACCCCCCCACCCTCCACAGAGAGGGGTGGACGGGCCAAAAACAGAACATCGATTGCACAGTGCACGTGTAACATCTTGCTGCCAACTGCTCTATTGTCTATGAAGAAAAAAAGAAAGGTGGGGAGGGAGGGGGGGGTAGGGTAGGAGGCATTCCCCCTTTGTGCAACACAAGCATGCAGCTCAGCCAGCCTGCATGTGACAGCCATGCTTTTGACAGCCATCTGGATGCGTACACATCATCACGATAATTAAACACCGGATTGCTCAGCTCGGCACTATGATCGAGGCTCCCCTCTCAACGTGTTGTGGCTCGTGCAGCCCCTTCGTAGCCTCCCGTATTATTTCAACACAGTATATCGCCTAGCAACAGCGCGTTGCTAAGGATTGTAACGTTACAGCCTTTGCAGGGAAGACGAACGCTCTTCTTTTAGCGCACGTTGAAAGTATTTTGTGCCCCCCCCCCCCCCCTGTGTGAAAAGGTCCCCCGCGGAGTGACGTGGCAGAAGAGTTCAAACTTTTACCACGGCACGGCCCGCTTCTTTAGTGCGAGTAAAAGAACAGAGACGGAATAAATAATAAATACAAGGCGGGACTCGTTGGACGTGCGGAGGGAAACAGTTTGGGAGCTGAACGTGTTCAAAACGAGAAAGAAAGAAAGAAAGAAGGAAGGAAGGAAGGAGCCGTCAGCGGGAGTCGGTTTACGGGCTGCGTGGCGCTGCTGTCAGTTTCGGTGTCAAGTTCTAAAACCACAACAAACCAATTTCTGAGAGAAATCTTGTTTTTTTTAAACAGCTCGCTTGCGAAAGTATTCTTGTTTCGAGCGTGCGTCATATCGACAGATACCCCGGGACCAAGAAACCCGAGTGGTAAAGTGCTGCTAAGTCAACAAACAGGTTGTAACCCCCCTCCCTCCCCCACCGAGGCTAGCTTGGCTTGGCTTGGTTTAGCCATGATAGCCTCTAAAATTATCCCCAATTAGCACGCGCTAACGCCTCCGCGGCACCGTCGCGCCGAACCGAGTACTCACTCCGGTGTCTGCTCGCGGTCCACGACTGTTTGGCGATACTCGGGCTGCGTATGATTGCCCTTCCGGCGGATTTCAAAGCGTCCATATCGCGGTCCAGAAAGTGAGGGCGAAGAGCCCGACGAGGCTGGTCTCGGTTCTGGAAACACTTCTCCTCCGTGTTGTTTTTAAATAAACAACCCGCTCCCGTTCAAACTTTTTTTTCCGGCTGTTTTTTTTCTCTTCCTCTCCCCTCCTGCGCGTGTTGCTTTCGGTCGACGGTGGACGATCATGTTCGTCCCCCTGGGCGGCGTTTTGTATGTAAATTAGCCGGATAATGTGCGTGACGCCCGGTTGCGGAGTCACGCGAGCGGGCGGGCGAGTGAGCGAGGCGGCATTGGCTCCGGCAGCGCGCGCACGCGCGGGCGGGCGGTGTTATCGTTCCCGTTAACAACGCGGCGCCGCTTCACGCCCGCACCGGCGTGGACTCGGCATTCGCGTCGCCGTGGGGTGCGGGAGGGTGCGGTTAAAGCGCTAACGCTTAATTCAGCCACACGGCGAGTGTCAGCGGGATGATGCCGTGATTTTAAAAAAAAAAGGGGGCTATAGGGCGTTATCGCGTCAGCTCAGGTTGCTTCACCTTTACAGGTTGCTATAGCAGCTGAATTCTTATTATGTCACAGTAAAACAACTATATAGTTATAACCAGGAATGGTTTTGTTACGATATAGTTCCCCACAACCATTTGTATTGTATGCAAGATGCTCTCATATTAAATAATCACTATATATCAATATATCATTTCGTGGCCCCCTCTCCCAAAGAGTGCTCTGGCAGAGAGAACAGCTGCATGGGGGGGGGGGATGCTGTGAGGTTCCTTTCTTGGAAAAAACACACTGTCCGGGAGTCATTTTCCTACCAAAATGAAAGGCAAGGAGTCCCCGCTGGGCATGTGGAGGAAAGGGGGGTTCCCGATAAAAGAAACATGAGGTCAGGGAGACCTAAGATGCTCCATTTTACGTTTCCCAGTCTTCAAGAGGAAACCCTGCCAGACATCCAAGAGCGATTCACCTCCCATTGGTCTTTTATTTTGAATGGTTTAAAACCCACGCTGAACGGCCTGAAGAACCAAACACGGCCAAATAACGTCGGTTCTGAAGGTGGAAATTTGACAGAGTTCAGAATGACCCTTTGTGACCTCTTATAGCCCCACCTTCTCCAGAGCTTTTGAGATGATGCAAGGACGTTTGGTTTCAGAGGCCACTCGATTTAGCAAGAAGAATTGTAGATTCAACCTCAATATTCACCGTAATTTTAGGCTTATGTATTAATAATTTGATAACGTTGGAATTTATATAATGTTTCTGTCGATAGTTATTATTGCTTTTAGACGACCACCCAAACCCTTCTTGTTTTGGGTACATTAACATTAAAAATGACACAATGACTCTGCAAGACTCATTCAAGATTCCATAAGAAGTGAAAAAAAACTCTGATATAAGAGCCACAGGCGAACACTTCCCCCAAGGACGAATCTGCAACACATCGGCTCAGCTAGCAATTACACACAGTATTGAGTTTATTCTGCATAGGAACAACGCCTCATCAGTGTAGCAGCGCGAAGGAAGCCTCCCTCTCTGTACTCCTGCAGGTGCATTCCTTTTCAAATCCCTGCTTCTTTGTCAGCTGCTGCAGCCGTGCCTCACTGGGAGGCTGGAGACAGAGTGCGGCCTCCTGCCGTTACTGAAGCACGCAAGACAAACTGTGGCTTTTTACGGCAACAAATTACAAGTAACGGGCACAGCAGGTGTGTTTGGGTAGGAACATCTGCCAAGAGGCGAGAGCAGGGGTACAACTGCACATCCAGCTGCAATTTATTCTTGTGAATGGCAAAAAAATAATCAAGATGTATTTATACACAAGCGAGTATAACTACACATCTCTTGACCTACACGGTCGGCCTATGTTCACAGAGAAAATTGCTCATATTGAACGAGTAGGTCGTGAAATACATAATGGCTGTACCTACAAACAGCGTGATTTTACTTTACATAAGTGAGGTCTAATGGCATCGCAAACGGTTGGTGCATCTGTGCCAAATGCTAGAAAATACCTTTTATAAATCTGTTAATTCCCACACGCTGGACTCTGCCAAACAGAGCTTTGCCAAATTGAGACAAGGAGAGCGATAAACTACAGAGGTTTGAGCGTAAAGCAAATTTATGGCCAGAGCCGGGCCCGGCGTGATGCAGGGGAAAGTGAGTGAGGGGCTCCGGTCGGGCTGCACAGGTTAATCGAGTGTGTTTGGCGATGCCGCGCATGTGACAGAATGCTGAGCAGAGGGCTCTTCTTCACGCATTGGAAGTGACGGTCCTTGGCACGGGGATTCTTCATCTGCCTCCAAAACATTTCCAAGCGCATTAAGATGAATGAATTATGGCTCCAATCAAAATGCTTGGCGGCCTGAAAGGTGCTCCCGTTTACGGTTCCACCGCTGAATGAAACCCAAAAGCCCAGAGGTCAGCACGGCAACGAGCATTCACGTCCAGATCTGGAAAGTAGACAAAGGGCCGAGTGGAGAGAGATGTGTCTGAATATTAAACTCATTTGTCTGAGATAAATTGGATTTTTTTAAAGTCTTGAAATGGGGAGATTTAATGGTTCTAGACAGAAATAAAAAACAGATTGAGTGGACTGAGATTCTCGTCCCGCATTATATGGATGAACAGCGCCGCCTGGTGGCAGAAACAACAGCAAATCCACTCAATAAAAGAAAAATTGCATTTTGACCAAAAGGAAATATATGGGCTTTAAGTGATTGAGATGCCATAACATGCATTGTGAATTTAGGCATTTCCGTAGTTGAGCATGGAGCTTTGATTACATTTAGGCACTCACAAGAGTATAATTAATAAAAGAATGGGGACGATTACGGCAACTGAAGCCGAACAAAAATAAAAAAACACTTTCCATAATGCAACTTTTTAAATATACCCCAATCAAAGAAAAGGATTGGAAAGCAAATGAATTTAACAAAACAGCCACAAGCAGAGAAAAGTACATTTGCAAGAAAAGAATGTTTATTCCTTGTAAACCTCACAGAGCGAGAGCACAGCCAGAGTCAGACCTGGGGAGAAACAGAGCAGTGAAAACAAAAAAAACAACAAAACCCATCTCGATGCTCTCAACAATCAGTTGAGGAGAAGACTGCCTAGACCGTAAGTTTCACAACATCTTCTCATCCCCAGGAACCAATGACAGCATTGTGAGCGAGAAAAATAAAGCGTCTCCATTTACAGTCTGTGAAAATCACACGCAAAAACAATGACCATTTCGGAGAATGTTGAAACCACGTCAAGACTTTAGCCATTTTTCGTCCCTGCAGGAAAATAACACCAGAAAACAGGAAACGCTGCTTTGGAAACAGCCGCTTTCCCGACAGTCGCAAATACTGAAACATTCACAAAAAGAAATGTGACTTTTTCGTCCCTTACTTTTAACGACACAGTCTACTACAAACAGGTGACCGCTTTATCTACCTGCCGAACACAAACTTTCATGAAGTGATGACCAAGTGGATACTCGACAAACTCGTCACCCGATGTTCTTGTGGTACATTCTTGAACACTTTTCCAGAGAAATGAGCTTTCCCAGTGTTGGCACACAAACTCAAGTGGAGGATTAAATTATTATTATTTTTTTTAAGGATCAAAATTGGCATTCCCGAAGCATAGTTTACATTTCATAGTCCGTCTTTACATTTTTCCCTTTCGGACAGCGTGTGTTTTCTACAGTGCAACTTTTAATGGGGAGATCATAACAAAGCAGAGGCGGGTGTGTTGGGTGGGGGGGGCAAGCAGCCTGACCGAGGGATTTGGGGTTCAACAGCCGTGGAGATGAGCTTCTGTGGGTGGACATGTAAACAGTAGACTCTGTGGTGGGCAAACATCAGGTCACCATACTGAACAGGTAAATAGGAGAACAATTAATTAGGTGCCATCTATTGTTTGCGCCAATGTGACTTACTGAAAGGAGCAAAGCTTCCCTTAAATAAACACTGTGGCTCACCTTCACCACCAGTCTGGAGGTTAGGAAGGAACCCAAAAGCCCAAATTGGCACACCTGAAGGCAACTTTGTCCCACGTCACTGGGCGGGGTCAAATTCTCCTCCTCGGCAAGATGTTTCACCAGTAGTTCAGGGTCGGGCCGTACCTCATTACTCACTCGTCCTTAACTCAAGGCACTGAGATCATGGACACCGATGAAAGACGATGTCGAGCGCGGACAAGCACACACACGCACGCACATTTCTTTTACCGAGCTCAAAAACTCACTTCAGGCCTGACTTTGGGAGCTGCAAGGGTTCAAATCATTTTAGGGCCTATGTTTCTTATAACATAATATATTATCCAACGTGTTGCATTAAACACTTCCAGCCTATTAAAACAACACTTGAATTTTAAAGAGCGAACAAATGGAACCACGCAATGCACCTACAAATAAATTATTTACGTCCTGTTCCCCGAAGCAGCGGGGAGCAGGGTTCATTTGGTGCCTTCAACGGTAAATGACAACAGAACGGGGAGAGTGTGCCAACTTGCACTACATTCCTCAGGTTGCACAGATGCTGCCAGACTATGTGGGGAGAGAACAATCTATCAAAGAGGTGGTGAAGTCAGGCCGTGCGTCTGTATGATTTAAAGGAGAACTTTTTCCAAAAGGTTTAGGAGGCGAGACTCAACCTATAAAAAGGAATGAATCTATTCCCCGGGAACAAAGGGCGGGTAACCGCGGTAACCGTGGCAGGCGGCTGCATCGGTGGAGGGGAGAGGGAGAGCAAACACCCTTGAGATGAAGATACCCGGTTCTGTGAGGTTTCACTAGACACTTAAGAGAAGAAAAAAAAAAAAGAGCTGCGGCTTCCTAGTTGACATGTGATGTCCGTTGAAAGTTTTTTTTTTTTTGTCTTTTGTTTTACCTACAACAAAAACACGCCGAAAAAAGAGCTCTTCAGGCCAAGTTTATCAGTGGGAGTGAGCAACAACGTTCTCAGCTGCAGGCGTGCCGAGCGGCTCTGCAGGTGGGGGGGAGGGGGGGATAAAAGAGGATGGAGGGAAGTGATGAAGTGTTCACTTTTTGAGCGGCTGGTAAACGGAGGCGTTGGGGTCCAGGCCGGAGGAATTGGTGTCCATGAACTTGGAGGAGTAGTGGGGGGCCACGGGGGCCATGCTGCTGCTGTCGGCCGTGTAGGAGATGCTGGGCATGACGGCCATCACTTCGGCTATCTTCTGCTTTAGATCTTTTATTTCCTGGTCCTTCTGCAGGGTCTGACCTGCAAAAAAAAAAAACGGACAGCAACGAGGCCGGTGAGGGTTCACTCTCGGGATCAGACGGCGTTCTCAGAAGACCAGGCACGAACCAACGCGTCGCCCGTTGGAGATCAGACTGACCTTGTGCAATCTCCAGCTGCCTCTTGGCGTCTCCCAGCGCAGAAAAGAGGTCCAGTTTGATCCTGGTCTCTGCACTCAGACTGTTCTCCAGGTGCTGCGTCTTGTCCTGCATGGCTGACAGCGCCGACATCAGCACGTCTGTGTCTTTTTCATTCTCCTTGTATTTATGAAGCTCCTGAGAGGTGGAGGAGAACGGATACAGTTAGGGCCAAGTCAGGAGGGGGGCACTCTCTGATTGGATGCTTTAGTGAACTGCTGACAGAGGAAATTTGATTCACATATCATGAGTGAGCTGAACTTAATTGCATTCAGTGCTGCATGACGTCCAAATGGAGATGCCTTGGTATTACCTGGCTCTGGGCTACTTGAACAGGAAAATGTACACAAGACTGCGATAGGATCACACTTTAGGAATCAAAGTGGTCGTGAATCGCTGAGCAGAATCCCACACTTGAACTCCACTAATGCAGCCAGCAACAAGCATCACACATGACCGAAAGAATTAGGAAACGAGTACGTAAAAAACACTCGATACAACTTCACATAAACACTTAAGTGAATTTATCTTTTAACACATTTATCTTTAAACACATTTACCTGAACTTTCAATTCAAGCTCTCTGATCTGGTCCTCCTTTAGCTTGATGTCCAATGTTAGCTTCTTACACTCGGTTTCTAATTCGCCGATTCGTCGCCGCAGCGTGTCTGTGCACTCCCCTCTGAAAAAGACAAACCAACGGCGGCCCCATTATAATAACAGATCAGAGCTTCTCCGGTCAAGGGTGAAGAAGCGTGTCGGATGAGCACCAACCTGGATGCTGCTGCTAGTGCTACTGCTCTGGCTGCCGTGGCCTCCTCCAGCTTCTTTCGCTTCTTTTCGTCTGCGAGCTGCTTCTCGGCGGTGCCTCGAGCCTCCTGCTCCGCTTTGAGCCTCTTCTCCAGCTGGCCCACCGCCTGTTTGTCCTTTTGCTTGGCCTGCACAGCGTTATGGAGCCTGCAAGTGCAACGACACACATGGGCCGGAACAGCAAGGAGGATCAGTATTTATTCAAACAAGCCCATACAGGTTGTTTACTATTTGTAATTATTGAAACGCTATTGCCATTCAAACTTAACTCATTCATGAAGGTATTTTGATGCAATGTTCCCCCCCCACGACTCACTTGTTCTGCAGCAGCTCGTTCTCCTGGCGCAGTTGGCCCAGCTCTGTGCGGATGGTGCGCTCGGCGCTGCCCAGCGAGCCGATCTGACTGCGCAGGTCCTGTTCTACCTGCCGGCTGGCCTGCAGGTCTGCCTTCAACTTTTTAACATCCTGCTCCAATCTGTCCCGGGGTGGTGGAAGAATGAGCAGATGAGATACAATGACGTGATATGTTTTTTTTTAATACGCATGTAGGCGGCTGTGGATCCATACATGGGTTATACAGATGTACAGAGGTCATATTCGATCCATACAGACTCAATTAAAATAACCATAAACACTACACATTCACTTTATGCTTTTAAAAAATGCCTGGCCTTCATTCTGGGTGGGAAGTGGGTGAATTTCTATGTCCTACTCAGAAGACAGAATGTCATCATTCCTTGAACATGATGCGTTATTAAATCCACGTTTTAATTCAATGTGCCAGAGTCTAGATGACCAGTTTTTAATCACTCAGCCCAACTAACTGCCACTGGCAAGAGCCTCCTGACAACCATCTGTTTCCCAACTAAAGAGGTCTCTGATCAGAATAGACCCTTTTGAATGATAGTGGGATTTACATAGTTCTGTCAGTGAGGAATGAATTGAACAATACTTTAAAAAAAAACAGTTTCAGGTAATGAAATGCCAGAGTAAAGCAGCAAACAGTGAACAAACAAACATATAATGCCCACAAAATGACTGCTACGAAATGAAAGGCTTTGAACTTTAGTATTCCGCTTGGAGATGAGGTTTTTTTGAAACCCAGTTCAAACCTTCAATGCCAGATCCGATCCACTGTGACACTTCTCTGTGGACCAGAGATATTATACTAAATACCACAGGGCTCTGGGACACTTTAAAACATCACAAGCAACCATCAAAAGGTCAGATGAGATGGAGGCGGTACTTTCCTGATGCAAAGCTCCTCAGTTGTGAAACTTAATTAAATGATGCTCTGCTTGAAGTGTGCAAACTGCAGCTGTAGTACACGGGAGGGTAGGGGTTGTCGGGGGGGGGTACAGTTTAATTTGTCTTGATATCAGCATCAGGAACGAGGGGAAAGAATGCATCCGCATCGGGGGAGCCACAGTATAGTTTAGCGGCGTATGAGCGAGTGCACGCGTCTTACCTTACTAGTGCCTCCGGCTTGCTCAGCTGGTTGTTGGGGATGCAGTTGTCCGTGGGGTCCCTGTGGGGGCCGCCCGTCGTCCCCTTCCCCGGCACCAGCTTGTGCTTCTTCTCATTCTTCCCCGAGGAAGAGGCCGGCGCAGAGGAGGAGGGCACGCTCCCGTTGGTGGCGCTGTGGCCCCGCGGCGAGCAGTTGGGCGCCGTGGCGTTGCTGCTCGCGTTTTTGTAGTTTTTGGAGGAGGACGAGGATGAGGAGGAGCAAGAGGAATTGTTGTCCTCTTTAAGCAACAGGTTCTCTGTGCTGCCCAGCTCTGTGGTCAGTCTCTTGTTGTTTATATGGTTCTCCATGTACTCCATCTCTTGGAGTTTAGAGTCCACCGATGATGGCAGGATGCTGTTGTGCTGCTTTTTAGCCTCCACGCCGCCGCCCTTTCCCTCTTTCCCTTTTTCCCTATACTCCAACTCCGGCAGTGATGCCGATGTCTTTTTATTGGCTGGGGCGCCATTCTGTGACACAGGAGGTGTGTCTACTTCAGATATTCCTTTAGCTGCTGCTGCTGCTGCTGTATGAACAAAGGGGGAAGTGAAGGGGATACATTTTATCCATGAATCACGACTATATGTAAGCAATCCGAGCACTGACTGTGAGGAGCTGGTTAAGTGCTACTTGTGTGAAACGACCCGAGTTTACTGCACAAAAACAACACACGGCTACGATGCAATCCCAGGTATTTTCTTTTCTATTTCCTTTGCCGGCTGCAATTTTGACAAATCTGCTTGTCGCTCTGCAAGCTACATTCAAATCTTTGAGTCCTCCCACCCAATCAGCAGAGCCTCTTTGTCATTAGGTGCACGGCGTGTTTGCTTAAACTGTCAGGCAGGAACACCTTCAACCACCAACTTTGCCTACGGAGTGATATGCTGGCAATGTCACGAAACAACCTCGCACTCGATTGAAAGCCTGGTTGTGATTTAAAAAGATAATACCGTTTCAAGAATTCATGTTACATGGCCAAAATCCATTAAATGACTCATATCTCACAGGATACAGCGAATGAGAAACAGTGAGGCGACAAGATAACACTATATGCCTACTGTGGAAATGTATAATTAATCAAATGATGGGATTTATTTTGTTCAGTCAATGCAGATGGTGTATGCAAGTCTCATAAATCCTGGCATGCATACATGCATGCGTGTGTGTATCTCACCCTCTTCTGCTTCTCGCTCCTGCCTCTGCTGCTCTGGAGGCAGGGCCTGCTGCAGAAGCTGCATGTAAAACTCATTTTCTTTCTGGACCTCCTTCTGTTTCCGAAGGCGCATCTTATAGCTCACGTAGCTCTTGAAGCCGAAGCCCAGCGTGACCACTGGGTAACCAATGCTGCATGGAGGGACACAATAAGTACACTGGTTAGTCTGACGGTGGTTCACAGATCCAAAAAGTACAGATTCTATCAACACTGGCACGAAAATAACAGTTAATCATTTTGAATTCTTCATCACCAGCAGAGAACGCCGGTCTTGTATTTTTCTTTCACCTTATGGGTCTGTGTCATCCAGATTGTTTCAGGTCTTTGAGACATTTAAGCAGGAAGGACCACAGCACTCTTGAGTGTGTCGCCAGGTGTTTGATGTCGGGGGAGAATTCCACCACATTTACCTTTCTGTTTGTGGACAGATTTGATCACAGCAATACGTCATAACTGAGCAAAACGCAGTCTCGGAACTTTACAGGTGTGGAGGCCGAGTCCACAGGTGGTTGCAGCCAGACCGCGGCACACTGGTCAAAGTCACACTTGCCAAAGTTTCTACTTGTTAAAAGCTGTATGTTTTCGTGTATTTATTCTTCAGAACAGTTATAGAAACCAACCTAAAACTGATTGATTATGAAAAGGAGAAAATGGGGAAAAAGGAGAAGCATTAGGTCCCCGCCACAAAACCAATCATGGGTCATCATTGACTCTAATGTGGTGTGCGGCGATGAAAATTCTGATTAATAGAAGTTGGTCGACACTAAATTCCGATCCACTCCGCTGAGGGGGCAGCGTTTCGACAAGTTAAAGCAGAGCGGCGGCTCACCAGTGTGCTGCAAAAGGACGACACAAGTCCACGTGGAAATTCTTCAGGTCTTTGAATCTGATGGCTGCCTCTATGTACACAAAGAGTATCCACAGGGACACGGTGGGGAGACACACACCTCTCTCTGAAATAAAAAAAAAGTTATAATTTGGCATTGAGCATCACTTTGAGTAGTACCTGACTTGTGTCCGCTGGAATGAGCATCAAGAAGAGTTTAGTTATTCTTTCACAAGATAAAGAGAAGATCACAAATGCTACAGTAAAATCAGGATTGTACTCTGTGAGACGTGCAGAGAATGAGTAGACTGTTACTTTGTTCTAAACAGTTATAGCTCACTAGTAAAGTTGGAGGGTCAGAAGGCGACCAGAAACAGCTCTGTGTTGCTCCCTCCCCCAACTGGCACGAGGAGTTCCATCTGACAACCGGCCTTCGGTCAACGCGGGGGATACCGCTAAATCAAACTGACAACTAATCCGCAGAGTGCAGCTCACTTACACACCGTGCAAAATTCTGAGAGGCAACGCTATTTGTAAATAACATCACAATGTGCATGAGAAAGGGAAAATACTCTTTGAAGCACTACGAGGAAGACCAAAGCGAGCACGTTCTAAGAATGTGTGTGGTCTGTCACTTAAAAGCTGCTCTGGTTAAATACACAACTTATTCCTTCCCTCTTTTTGGAATTATTAAACAGCACCAATGTAGAAATATAGGTTAATCACAGGCACGTGTTTATACTGACAAATATCAGGACATTGGAGGGCCTTACCTGTGTGCCAGACATACTGCACCCAGACATAAGTACTGGCAGCGAAGAATAGCCATTGCACTGGGATGAATAGGAGGCAAATGATGTCCGAGGTAAACGCCACACACACAAAGAATACTGAGAAGGCCTGTGGGGGAGATGAGGAGAGGTATAGTAATGATAAAACAGCGAAATATGGATAGATGCCAGTTGTTGCTTGTACCCGTTAATATTTCATGCTTGAAACCTAAAACATTGTGGTCATAGAAAAAGGAAATGTTTCCAGGCTAACAACAAGCCTTAATATCTTATTTGGCTACCAAGTTGTAATACATTATAATAAGAGTCATGATTAACCTCAAAATGTCATTGTTGAATTATAGCACCACGAAAGGTAATGTGAATATTACATTTGTGTTTCTCCCTTACTGTGAGACACATACCAACAAACACACACCTACACAATGCATTTCAATGAGAACAAGCTGTACACCATCAATAATGGATCCACAGCAAAGTTAAACTATGACAGATAGGTGTGATAGACAACATTAGCAAAACAAATTTAGATAACAGGAATGCCAATAACCTGAAAGCCTAATGCAAGAACAAATTATTCGGTTTAATGGGGTAAGAAATCACATGTTGAATCAAAGCTGACATGTGTCAAGGTAGTAACTGATACATAATACTATGCTATGCAATAAGATATGTACGTTTAGATTGAAGTATTTTAACAAAAGATGCATTGAAACAACATATTCTGTAGTGTGAGAGACGCGTTACTCGTTTATGTGTCTGCATTAAATATTTGTGGTAATTGACAAACAGTGGCTGGACTTCCCTTTTTGGGTTAAACCTGATTTCAGCTCTTATTACATTGAGTTGCACAACTATGTGTGCTAAACTTTGCTTTAATCTAACCACAGTCCTACAACTGCAACAATGACTTGGATTCTTAACTTCCATTTAATGCAGTTGCTGTGTTGTCAGCACTATTGTGCCAATCATCTTACCCCTCATTATGGCATACTAAGTTGATTTAGTGCAACATCTTTACATAAAAAGTGGATATGATTTTTCTCCGGCCTATATGAATCATTAGAAATATACGGACAAAGCCACTCACCAGCCCCTGGTATCTGAAGGAGTCGTATACACTCCGGATGAAGAGCCAGAACGGCCACAGGTACTCAAACCTGAACTCCAGAACAAAGTCTGCCAGTAGCACCAGTGCCCACACTACCAGGAATTTCAGGTACAGGAAGGTACTGAAAATGCCAAAAAAAACATTGCATGACACAAACTTATTGGGAACACAAATACACTACAACGTCGAAGGGTGCACTTTATATTGGCAATGTGTTTGTGTTCACAAAAATGGCCGTCACAGTAACAGTCAATATATGGCAAATCAACGATAATACATCAGAAGAGAGTCTGCTTTATTTTAAGTGTGTGTGTGTGTGTGTGTGTGTGTGTGCGTGCGTGCGTGCGGATCAAGTGAGGGTTCCATGTCTTGCACCTGTTGCTGCTGTTTGGCAGATGAAATGCCTGAGTGAATTGCACTTATTATGAGTGGCTGATGTTATCAAATTGAACTGCATATACACCGAACAAGTGCATACAATTTTAAGAGACTCGTGAAAATATTCTGGAAGAGATCCATGTACATTATTTGAGGTGTTCTTCTGTGATGATGCGTTGAACATTTGGACATGGCAACTGTGCCAAGTGAAGGCTAAAAGGTCACCAGCTTCTCTCACCAGCTATGGGTATTAATCTATTTACAGGATTGGTAGATTTATTGCTGTTATTTTTCTGTTACAATTCATTCAAGATTTGATACAATGCATACATTTGATCACAGTTATCATTTTTTGCCGTTGGAAAATACGGCAGGGGTGTCCTTTGATGTCAATGCATAACCTAGCAGTTTCTACATAATAAAAAACTAACGTTACCCCAACTATGTCCATTGAATTTAGGTGGCTTTAAAGTTTACCAAGGAAGGCACAGTGCTAACGTTACCTGTTCGGACCTGTCAGCTGTGAAGGACAACTAAGCAACTCTTAAGTTTGCTGTTCCAAGTCTGAATAATGAAACACGAGGTCTTCATAAGTCAGACCAACTGCCTGCAGTTCTACACACGTTGACACGTAACGTGAGCATATATATATTACGCTCTTACTGGATAAGTAAGGTGCACGAGGTGAGGTTAAGTCAGATATAATAAGACCAAGCTGGTGTTGTGCGCTAGCTAACATAAGTTACCCTAGTTAGCTAACAGGGAACGTGCTAATTTTGACACGGCTAGCGGATGACAGGTGACGTGGACAACGGTATAGTCGGGGTTGTTTAATAATATGTCAAATGACACCTTATTTCAAAACGGGGGAGGTTGTCAGTGAAAGACACCTTGCGAAGTGGTCCAGAACGGGCTGTTTTGGGGCCTAGCGCTACGACTAGCTCAACGGCTACCGTTTACTGCTTATGTACGAACGAAAACATACCGCTAGCATACTCTATGCTACCACCAGAAGCTAGCATGGCTAATGAGCTAACTTAGCTAGGGTCGGCAGTCCATTGGTATCGGCAGCAACGTTAGGAAGCTTCACATTCCGCTACTGTCAAGCGGCAAGCATTCCCCATTCATTGCCCCCGTCATTGCCGTGAGGAGGAGCCCTTCGTCGGGATCGTTACAAGTTACCTGCCGTAAATACCCTCAGTGATTCGGTTCCGTTTTAACGGCCGTCGGAGTTTGGTGCAGTCCGCATTGCGCCGCTTCATCCTCCTCCCCTTGGCTTTGGCCTTCGAGTAACCACTGTAATCTTATCCAGTTTTCTTGTGTATACGGACAAATATAATAAATGAAGTGCCTGTGGTGTACGTCGCTGTTATTATTTGCCCCCACTGGAAACAAAGAAATAAATAAAGGACTCAATTCGGGAACCTCCTCTTTTGCTGTTAGCGCAGCCTCGATATGCCCAGACCGCGCTGTGTTTTACGCACGTCCAGTTGTCTGACGGCTTGTATGTCCAATCATTTCTATCCGCCGAGGCTTGTCTCTTTGACGGATACAGAGATGAGCCATTTACGTCGCACCGCGGCCGGTTCCCCCAGTATTCTTACTATGACACGGGCGACTGAGAACAACGATGCGGGGATTGGAGCGTCACCCATTTTGAACCAATCAGATTCGTGCGGACCAAACGGGCATCGCTGATTGTCCAATGAGATGATCCCGGAGGCGGGAGGTTTTCTTGGAGGGTTTTGTCTATGGTTTATTATATGTAAAAAAAATGCCGTCTTTGGGACAAAACTATGTTTGTGCGTGACACAAAAAAATCTTCTTTATTTATATCAGCCCCTTTTTTGTGGTTCATCGACTGACGTGTCCCTAAGGCCGTCAATGCCCTAAAAATGTTGTTTCCAGACTGAAATGTGTGCACTTATAGTCTGCTTATAGTATGCAGGTGACTGAAAGTGTGGCTCGCATTTGTCTTTTTATTATAATGGATTTGACCCATGGCCTTTTGTTTACCATTGTCTTGAATATATAAGTTAAAGAGGGTTTTTTTCAAATATGTATAGGGCCAAAACTGATTCACCTTAAGTAGTGTTAGTCACAAAAATACAAATATGGTTTGCAAATATTTTCTGAGCATCTGTAATCGCACTTCATGTTGTACATTTAGTGTTCAATTAGCCAATTAATACTAAAGTAACTCTCTGGACATTGTGATTATAGTTAATACTGTATTTTATTTTGTGCCAGATCGGAAACACCTATTCAAATTGCTGCAATTCAACTTTCATACAGCTATTTTTCATGAACTCAATTGATTTGTAATTAGGTTAAATGGAGCTCCATCAAACTGGCTGAATTGTCTAAATGTCACTCTTGAACCAGGTGACTATGTCTGATATCAGGCACGAGCTTGTCACTCAGGAAAGAGTCGGTGCAAAGCAGCTGATAAATTCAACAGATGCTCGTGCATTTAGGGTGGCACCCTTTGAGCAGGGCGCCACCCTTTGAGCAGGGCGCCACTTGCAGCGGTTGGAAGAGAAGCGTGCAGGGATCGTGCCCGATGGCTCCTCAATACGCACCGAGTCTGCGCTCCCGTCTGGCACCGTTGCTGCTTTTCCTGCAGATAGGCTTCGTGGTCATATTTGCCTTTTGCATTGAGATCGAAAGCAATATAAAAGCAGACGGGACCACCTTCAGCAGCTTTTACCCAGGTAGGCCAAAGCAGTGAGGATGTGGATGTGGGGAGGTCAGGTCAGGAGACAATGTGGGTTGAACGGTCTTAACTCAACGAAACATTGTGAAGCTATGTGGGTTATTAAAACAGCAAAACCTCTCTAAGATCTAAGAGTTTGGGGAGTGGTGGCAGTTAGGCAGTGATACAATCAAGCAGCTCCTACTTCTTCAGAAGCAGACCACCAGGGTTATCAAAGCAAAAGCAAAAGTGACTATTTTCAAAACTGTCTTTTCTATTTTTCAAAACCTATGCGATTTCCTTTTGTTTTTCAGAGTTCCAGGATGTGAACGCGATGGTGATTCTAGGCTTCGGCTTCTTGTGCACTTTTCTAGTGCGGTATGGTTACAGTGCCACTGGATTCAACCTCCTTGTGGCTGTCATGGCCATTCAATGGGCCATCATACTCAGAGGAATGGAGTCCTGGTATTACAGAGGGAAGATCAGGGTAGATTTGAGAAGGTATGTTGCGGTCATTTTAAAATTTGTTTAATCAAATGATCCCTATTTTGTACCACTACAGCTTGCATGGCGAAATAAAATGTCACCTGTTACTGATCAGAGATCCAACATGAATGAAATTCACAATATATATGGTTAACTTAACATAAACATCAGCTATAAGTTAAAGGTCAATATTTTGATGTAGCTTGGTGGTTGCCGAGATGTGCACAGCCTCTGCCCTCATCTCAATTGGAGCTGTGCTTGGGAAGACCAACCCTGTCCACCTGGTCCTCATCGGCCTGCTGGAGGTGTCAGGGTTCGTCCTGAATGAGTGGCTCCTCCAGGTTCTGCTGAAGGTGAGCGACTTTTGTTCCTGTACGTCACCTTTGAATCTGTAACGCAGGCCACATATATCCCCTCCATACACAATGCAGTATCGGAATGTAGTGATCAGGACGTTTTCGAAATCCAGGTGCCGACAGAGAACAGCATCATGCTGCTTCACGTCTTCGGGGCCTTCTTTGGACTCACGCTGACCTGGATCTTGTTTCGGGAAGGCTCCCTTCAGCCTTTTGAAAAGGAGAAGTTTGATCGCCAAACAGGATTATTCTCCATGTTGGGTAAGGGGTCGGGCCATGTCTTCGGCCAGGGCATCAAGTAGAATTGATCAGAATCTGACGTTCTGTGTTCCAGGCTCTTTGTTTCTCTGGATGTTTTGGCCCAGTTTTAATTCGGTCCTCGTTGACAATGACTTTCCTTGGAGGAAGCTGGGCGCCGTGTGCAGCACCTACCTGGCCCTGGCTGTCAGCGCCGTAACGGCATCCGCTATGTCTATGCTCTCGAGCCCCAGGGGAAAGCTCAACCCGGTATTTTCTAGAACTTTATATGTGAACACAACATTCTTCTCTTCCACCAACAGTCATTGACGGCGGAAAGCCAACGTTTACCTGTTTGAGTACCTCAGGACTTTATAAATTCCAATCAATCAGTAGGCCTCTTACTAAAAAGATCTACTTCCCAATGGGGCGTTGATCTCTTCCTCTCGGTCAGATCCGTATGCAGTCTTGCATCCTCGCGGGTGGCGTTGCCGTTGGGGTTTCCATGTCAGCGGTTCGTCAGCCATGGGAAGCCATGACCATCGGCTTCACTGCCGCCGTTGTATCAACCGCTGGATCGCAGTGCCTCAAGGTGACGACCGCCGCAACCGCTTAAATTCACTTAATTCATCCGCCAATCACCAGGGCTCGTTTTCCAGACGCACATGCTGCTTGCCTTCGAGTGCCACGACACGTGCGCTGTCCTGAGCACGCACGGACTCCCCGGCCTGCTGGGATGGCTGGCGCATCTCCTGCTGCAGATAAAGGCCTGCGATGATCACACAACGTAAGCACGCCGCCGTCCTTCGGTTGCATCGCGGCGCACACAAAAGGTGCAACACTCTCGTAATTGGTGCTTTTTTTTTTTAACAAGGGCTATCCGGTTTGCTGTGTTTCACATTTGTACTCTCCTCCTCACCATCGCTGTCAGTCTGTCCATGGCAGTCCTTACAGGTGAGTCCTCTCTCTGGTAAAGTTTCCATTATTAACGGTCTGGCACAGTCAAACTAGAAGACAGACGGTCCATTCTTAATTATTCAGTCGCGCCATCAGTGACAGTGAGATTTGACCCAACAGACGTCCCACTTTAGGTTTGCCATTTGTAAGCCTTTCCTGATTCTTTGTATGTCATTGTTTAAAGGATTCCTACTCAAATGGAACTTGTGGAGACCGCCTCAAGACAAGAAATGTTTTGATGACCAGGCTTTCTGGGAGGTAGGCAATCATTGCTTTTTACAAACAAATATCTGCCTTAATATGATTCTATAACCGATGTCCAATGTTATCTTTATCAAGAAAGATACTAAATAGTAATGGAGAGCATTGCATTTATGCTTACTTAAAATAGCTTTGTGCAAATCCCCCCCTGTTTTGCAGTTTCCCCATCTTGCCGTGAACAAGTAAGAAGACGGGAGCGAGTAGAATCTTGGGAGGAACAAATATCGGTGTACATATTTTTATACAGTTTCTTACTTTCTTAAAAAGTAGTTGTTAAATGTTTGGTTGGCGAAAGACTGGGATACAAGAAATGAAATCCAATCCAATCTAGCTGCAACTGCAGAAGTATGAATGCAAGACTCGTTTTCTGCCCGTTACGTCTCCGTTTAATGCTGCCATGGTCGTCAGAAGATGACCTCGTGGTTTGGATGTTACACAAGCAGATGTTAAGTTTTGCAGTCAGATAAAAACCTCCCGTACGCTTATAACGACCAATAGACTTCAAAACCTTGTTGACATCATGTCAGCAGTGCGAGCTAATTAACCGTGTCAGAGCTGATAATGTTATTTGAGGAAAAAAACAACCCCAATATGGTTACATTCAGTAAATGTGTTCAGTTTTGTGAAATATTGCCCTAAATGATGTTTTATTCCAGAATAATTTATGCTTTTTCCACTTAAAAGACTGTTCAAATATAATGGATGCTGTAAAAGTAAGTATACCCAAAGGAAAAGTAGACAGCTGAGAGATCCCCAAATTCAAATATAAGTTGTAAACCATTATAACAACATGGCTATACAGTCTGTGTGAATAGACACAATTAAATATGTCATCACACCTTTCAAAATAAACTATGAAAACTTGTGCTTAGTTATAATGTAGCCATTATACAGCAAACAATACAAATTAAAAATGTTAATTGGAAAGCTAAAAAGGTGTTTGTATAAAGTGAATAACCACGAATAACCATCTCCTAGTGTATAGAAAGCAGAGTGTATAAAGAGTGTACACGAACACACACAAAGTCTGCTACTGCCACAGATCCTCTGTACGTCCGAACTTGAAGACCAAACCCCTAATCGGGAGAAAGAGAGAAAGATAGAATCAGAAAAATATTTCCGCATGGCACCTTTGATGAGGTTTAAGCATGCGTTGGATGCGAGACGCTGCTGAGAACCACCAACTTACCCGAAGAAAATGAACGCATTCTGGAAGAAAACAGCAATGCCGGGGTACACAACGGGCTTCTCTGCAAGAGACAACACATTCACAGCTTTCAAAATGAGTCTGCATCTGTAATTTGACAGCGCAGCTTGATTACATCTCTGCAACATTTTGATTGTCTATCCAGCAAACGTAAATGAAGTTAGCGCATCACACTGGCTTCTTTTTCATCCCTGCAACGTTCAAAACCACCCTGGTGAAAAACAGGACTTACGAGGCACCACAAATCCGCCAAACAGAATCCACATAGAGGCGATGAGGGACCCAAAAGCCAGCATGAAGCCGATGAAGAGCCACACTCGAGCGCCTGAACACCAGAGATAAGAAAGGGGCGCGTTACTGGGTGGCGACACTGAGCAATTTGCCCGTTGTTGCACACACATCGCAGTGGCCGCTAAGTAGCTTCTGCAGTACAGCAGTACAGAGAAGTTCATCATATCCCATCATACGCACCCGTCTGTCCAATGCAGCCTTCGCTGTAGCTGTCTCCCCTCACTTGGCCATTTGAAACCGCATTTATCCTGGATGTGTCGAATGAGATCATAAAAAACTGTTAAAGAAAAATTAAGAAGGCCCCCCACATCAGACCGAAGACACCATTCTTGATCTGAGTCATGGGTACCAACCGCCCCCCCGACATATACAGCCTCCAGTTCTCATGTGACTCAACAATGAGGTCACATGACGGCAACTACAGAATCTCTGTGACAAATGAGCAGCTGGAGATGGAATAATGTAAACATGTGATAAAACTGGTGATTCAAAGAGCTCGTGTGATAGAAACAGTGTGCAAGAGTCTGTCTCACATGAGAAAGGCCACTGTAGCGATGACACCGCAGGTGTGATAGGCATGGTGAAACTGGCCGTCGTCGGGATACTTCACCGCAGCATCGATGATGATCCACCAACCTGTGAAGAACTGCGACAAGACCCACGGTTAGCCCGAGGAGCACGATGTAGTTGGAACATCAGCGGTCAAAACACACGTCTGATAAATCTGCACTCTGGTCATTTAAATCAGGAGAAACACAGTCCTGCGAACAGTGATAATGAGCAGCTACAGTCAGACCAGGAGGCCATATCCGTGTAGCCTGCCTGATCACACCCTCTTCTGTAGTGATGCACATCTAGCGTTTAACGGAGCATTACCAGAACTCCAGCAGCCACGGATGCAATAGTGTTTCTTCTTTCTCCCCAGTCCACATTGCACTCGCAGTCTCCGCACCGGATCCCGTCCAGGAAACCTGACATGACTGTGAAAAGGGCGTTATGTTCAACATCAACATCAAAAGCTCATCTCAATGCCACACATGTTGGTTACAGACCCCTTCGATCCGATATCAGCAAATCTAAACAAGCGGGCTCACGGTGTGCGTCCGCGCCGTATCGATGATGCTCAATTTAGGTCACGTGGCTTTATCGCAAAGCGCCGATTATTTACACACAAATAGCTCGGTAGCTACTGATGGTAACGTCACGCCGTTGGACAACGACGACATCGAAGTTAATATTTGAAGAAGCGGAACATTTACAGCGGATAAATCGGGGCTGAGGCGACACGTTGGGTTCTTTTGTTCATCGCTCGGGCATTAACGTTAGCAAACATTTCCGTGACGGTTTATTTTAACGTTAGCTACGAAGTTGCTAAATATAACAGCCGAACTCAAAAGACATCTTCAGTACAAAGGCAAATCCCACCCCCATCAGAATCACTGGGTGGTAGCGGTAATGCCATTATTGAACGGACTTGCCTACCTCTTATTTTCGGTCTTGTTTTTTTGCGTGAACCCCCTCGATTAGCCCGTCTTTGCTTCCGATATCACTCGGTCCTGCACATGCGCAGTTCAAACACACTCGTTTGATGAGGGAACCTCTGAGAGGCTGTTGATACTGTTGCATTCAGGTGTTGTTAACAAAATGGGAATTTGTGCATCAGTACCGGAGAAGGAGCGCTCCAAAAGGCAGTGGGCCTATTTGGTAGGAAGGAATATTAAATAGGAAACAGAAAACAACATGGCAATCTTTCCTATTGTGTAATTTAACAAGTTTCAGAATACAGTGCTTTCTTTCCTTCTCTGTATGCACCCACCGTGCAACACATATTACGACCATGTTTATAAAAGCAGACTTTGTTATTACAAAAGACAATGGATTACTCACCAGTAACGACCTAAATACGACCTTTAGCTCTACTTCATGAAGTAGGCGCCGTGCACGAGCATTTTGTAGACGAGACTGCAACACATGTATCGATAACTAAACTATTACAAGAGTAGCAGGCATTAGTAAATAGTTAATGAAGCTGAGACAATACATGTTTGAATATAAAAATAATGGCAACATACTTATGAAAGAGTTTATTGTAACGGACGAATATACGTTTACACTTTACAATAACCTGAAGCAATTACCATTAGGTCTCTTGGTTCCTTTATTACACCTGTCGGTGTACTTCCAGCCGTTTGCTGTATAATCTCATCTAAGATTTATGCCTCGCACATCATGTGTGAGTCACATGGGGGCTTTGAGCATGCTGCCCACCCTTTCATTATTCATAAAATGTATCGCTTGCAACTGTGAACAGAGCAAAAGCCAAAGGCTGTAGCATCAATCAGCATCTACATTACTTTATTGACGATTGCATAGAGACATTCACAACAAATAGAAGAAAAAAATAACAATCAAGTAGCAAGTTAGTGGTCCGCAGAAAGGTGTTTAGCATCATATTTTGAAATCAGTATACAGAGAAGAATTGTACAGCGCCTTTAGGGTTGATACATTTGAAAATGGCATGTCAGCCAGTATAAATGAGTAAACAAGATGACAATTGTCTTAAAAGACTCCAAGCAACTGCAAGGCTACAGATATGGACAGAAAGATGACTCCGAAGTATCCAATGTAGCCATAGGCACCATTCATCCTCATGGCTGGATCTGGAATAAAACATAAAACAGAACAATGACAACTTTCCCAAAGCAGAATTTTATGAAACAACAATGGATACAAAAAATGTCCACAAGGGAGTAACTGACATTCAAATTTAAATTTAGTTGATACGATAATAATAGTTGATAATACAAGCGACTATGACCGTTACCTTAAACAATTACCATTCTCATTAATGGTCAGCCGTGAATGTCTGTTCTCGTTATCTTTTGCTCATGCTGTATTTTGTCAATGATTAAACAAAACTAGGCGAGAGGCAACTGCCCTGTGACCACTGTTATTACTAGCAGTAAGTGTAAGTAAGTGATAGATAGTGTTTTAATGATTAAGGTACACAACAAACTGTATAGGTTTGACCAATTTTAAGATTGCATACATTTATAGGCTACAAATAAATATTATTGGTCCGTATTTACAATGCATTAGGTCAACTGACTCCAGGGGCTTTAAGCCGTCCATATGTCATAAATGCCACTTACCTCCTGTGTAGTAGCCCCAAGCATAGGAAAACCTGCTGGTCACCCAAATAGCCCCCAGCACCGAAGCTGATAACTGATGAGTATAAACAAAGAAAAAAAGTGTTACAGGCAGTGGGCAAATGCAAGGGTGATCCAGTTTGACGGGGGAAGAAAAAAAACGCTTTATCACTCTGACTCTGCGATTTGGATCATTTAAACCAAAGTTCACGAGGATTGCTCGGCCACTCCCACAAGTTTGACACAGCCCGAGATTACAATTCTAGCAGCTTTGAATAACTGACCCTAATAGCGTCGCAAGTCATTCGTGGCAATGTATCATTAAGTGGGTACAAAAGGGTTTCATACCGGGTAGACAAGAGCCGCAATGGTTTGGAAGACGAGCCACTGCGAGTACACCTCCAGCGTGTTCTGGTGCGCTCTCTGGATGCAGTTGAATACCTGATCCTTGTCACTGTACATTGTTGGGTACTGCGAAGTAGAGGGAAACACATGTTGAATAAAAAGGCGGGGGAAACGTATGAAAATCACATATAATGCAACAATAAGCGTGCATTGTTACTTCAACGTGAAGCGACTCGTCTAAGTGATTGTCCACTAAAGTACGAGTCCACCTACCTTGACGTTGTAATTCTTCCTTGCAGCCCCGACTTTCACTGCCAAGTACCCCAGCATAATCCAGCTGTACAGGTAGGTAAATATGGCGAAGCCGAAGTTGGCCGGCAGCACGGTCAAAATGTCCATGTTGTGTTTAAAAGTTTTGAGAGGACGACGGCCTGCCGATACCTTGTAGCCAAGCGGGGTGGTAGAAAATGATGAGGGCAGGACGTCACGCAAGGTAGTAAAAAGAAGACAAGATTACACAAGTATCGCGAGATCGCTTTCCTGCCAATTTCGAAGCCCATTTAAAGGGATTTACCATGATAATACTAAGAATTATGTATTAAAAGCATTGTAAAAATTATCAGATGCAATGTATTCATGTTAGTTTGTTATTACAAGCTGTTGTATCGAACTGAACATATATTAATAACACACGTATTAACATCAGCTATGGTGAGACAGCAAACATTCGAGGGTGTTTTTGAACGAGGTTAGAATCCCAACATTAAATCTCGCTTATTAGCTTCCATGGCTCATATTCGGATACGAAGGACTGCTTCCAGCATTTTCCGCGGACTTGTCTCGTCCGCCATTACGTCTGCTGGTAGGAACAACAAGAAGTGGAACACGTGACTGGAATTTTCCAGAGAGACTCGTGACTCCGCCCTGCAGCCGACCGCCACTTCTTCATTCCACGGACCGTCGATTCAACTGCAAGCAACGGAACAAACCGCCGACGCTTTCGCTAATATTCAGCTACAAACTTGACATATTTCGAGAAAGTTTGAGCTGTATTCGTGAGTCATCTTCTCGCACTACGCTTGTGAACGTGTCTCTTTTGATACAACGTTAGCTTAATTGCGTTTTAATCGACGCCAGCCGAACAAAGGATTTCAAGCCACACGCGGCCTGGTAAGTCCAATGACGCACGGCTAACTGTTTATTCTTAATTTCCTTATACTTTTGTATTTTAAATATCGTGCCACGTAATGGACGGTTTAACGCAATACACAATCTGTATCTTTTGGAACGATAGCGGGTGCTAGCTTGAGCTAGTCAAGTTATCTTTAGGTTGCGTCACCGCAAAAATTTCCACAAGGCCTCTTCGGTCAGCCATTGTAGCTGCGTTGTGCTAACGCTGCTTATGCTAATGATATGTTATGCAACACGAACCTATTGTCGGACATGGACTGTGATATTAACACGGTACTTTTCTCAAATGATCGACGATATCGTCATGTTGTTATAAGATCAACCCATTTATGTATAACTTATTGTTTCGAAAATATTGTATTTTAAAAATTGTAAATGGTCTTTCAGGTTGTTGCAGACAATATAACAATGGCCAAGGGAGAGGACTCTCACACGGAAATTGCCCGCGTTCGCCAGAAGGACGGCATCAACGTGATCTTTGACCGCAGCAGCGCTGACGCTTCGCGCTCCCGTTCACGATCCAAAAGCAGCAGACGCTCCAGCGGCTCCGGTCGCCACAGGGGGCGCAGCAACCGCCGGCATCGCCGGTGTTCGTCGTCTTCATCCAGCAGCAGGTCCTCCTCCCGCTCTCGCTCCCACCCCCGTTGCCACAGACCGTCTTCCCGCTGTCGCTGTGACAACCATCGCAGACATGGCCGCCGATCCGCGCCACGCCGCCATATGGAAAGCTCTGACTCCCCCTCCCCCTCCAGGCACTCTCGTCACCGACGCAACAGGTCCCGCTCCAGCAGGTCCGGCCGGGCAGTTAGCCGGTTCTCCCAGTCCCCGCCCAGAAACCACAGGAGCAGCTCTGGATCCGAATATTCCGAAAATTCCGTTGACCTGAGTATTGATGGTGAGTTTTTTTCTTCTTCTTTTTTTCTGGAGTGAATTGTCAGTTCCCCGGCGAAAAAAAGTAATGATATTCTTGTTTTCCAAAGATAAAGGAAACCCCATCATGTCTGCCAATGCTTCCATAATCCAAGAGGACGAGAAACTCTACAGTCCTGAGATCGTGGAATCAATCCAGTCGGCTCAGGCAGTGGAGTCCAATCAAGTGTCGCGAGAGACATGGGTGAGACAAGACCTGGAAAAGACTCCGTCACAGGTGGGTGTCTTAGATTGATGGTCGGCTGCACATCACACACTAAATGTAAAGCTGTCTCACAAGTTCTTATTAAACACACAGAAGTTTCCCCCCCATCTAAGACTACATGTAAATACAAGGTAAGGTGTGTTGAGAATTTTATTGATTTAATAATTTTGATCCTAGCTGTCACTTAATTCAAAGTTACCGGTTGCCTGCTCAACTGAGTCTTTGTTGAAATGTCTACATGCGTCTGTTGATTTAATTTTAGGACTATGTTGTGTTGAATTTCCTGTCTTGTTAACCTTCGGACCCCTGAGGGAAAATACATACTTTCTGTATTTATTCCTGTCTTCATAGATAACATGACAGTGGTCTCCTTCACTCATCGGCACCTGGGATTAAAGGGCTGTCATGTGACTTAGGTGACAACAATACGTGTTTGCGTGAAAGTTTACCTGATAACCCCTTGCAATGTTCAGAAAGTCTTAAGTTAACCCAACACATATGCTGATTATTAGACATAGTGCTCACAGTCAAAACATGCTAATTCCTCACATAGATGCTTAATGATCAATGCAGACATTGTATTACACTGACCACTCCATATAGATAGGCAATAGAATTTTGACTTTTCAAATGTATTCATGCTTGAAGTTGAAATGGGTCGTTGTTATTTAGCAGAATCCTTCACTCGCTGATGGAGCAAAGGCGTGTGGACTGCATTATAGTGACTATCCCTGTCAAGAGAGCTAAAAACAGACGAAGAACTCCTCTCCGTATGCCAAAGATAAGTTGGTTCACCAGCCGTGTCCTGAGGGCTGGGAAACCTACGTCACCATCATTCTGCCACTGTAGACAGAGAAGACATCCTTTTTTACTACGATTCTCTTTTCTTTTTGCATCTTATGGTTTTGTTTTGGTGTTCTGTAGGATGATTTTAAGTGGTGGAGACATTGAGCTGTCTGACAGCAGTGGGTGGGTGGTGGGGGGCTGTTAGTGTTGAAACTAACACTTAAATAATTCACCATGCAATGAAGTTTTACAATGGGAGCCATAGTCAATCTGACGTAAACAAGCTGTCAACACACAAGCTGTCAACACACAATCAGTGATGCACACATATCTCACTAGGTTTCTTTTTTTTGTCTTTCTCAAACAGAGCGATGAGGGGGAGCTTGATGATATGTTCAGCTTAGGGATGTCCCTGAAAAGGAGGACGATCTCTTTCAGCATTAACGTAAGTGACCATTCATGATTTCTTATTATTAACAAACAAACCTGAGCGCCGCTTTCAATCCTCTCGAGCACACGTCAATGTATTCTAACGTCTTACTGTCCTGGTCTCGTCCCGTCAGAACGCCGTGTTAAAACCAGCAGCTGCTGCCGCCGCGTCGGGGGCAAAGGTAACTTCCAGAATGGACAGCTATGAAAGCCGGAAGCCGTATGGCCACTGGATGCCAGTCAAATCAGGCCACGCCTCCAGGGCACGCAGACACACACCGGCACGCTAGTGTGTCAGAGTACATGGACGCTGTGAATACTGTACATATGTTTTACATTTTTATGGCACAAGTTTTATTACAGATGAAAGACTTGTGTGAGGAGATGGGAAGAATTCAATCAGGTGGGATTATTTGCATATATGCATTTTTTTTTTGCCCATTGTTGTATATTGTGCTTCAATAAAGTATTTATTTGATTAAAATGTTTTGTCTGTTCTGTAAGTATTCACATAAATTAATGAACTGTACTTATACTACGTGTGACTGACATCTTGATATTTCTTGATGTTATTAATCAGTCACGGAACACATGTAGAGAAATACTGAAACAGTAGATGGGGTGATTTGTCCAGATGGGGATACAGTGGACTACTTATAGCATCTAGTCAAGTTATGCTAAAATATTCCAACACAGTAAATTAGCGCATGCAAACAAATGCCAACTGAAAAATAATGGAAGTTTGATTTGGGTGTAATGTCAAATCAGCACCATTGTCAGGTTTTCCTGTTTGTTTCCAACCATGAGTCAAAACGTTTGCTGCAAGAAAAGCCTAGATCTAGTTTGAGGCAACAAAACTGATCACATGTGAAAACGGGTACACTGAGATCATGCTCTTGGGTTTATACGTGCTGCATTCTCATGACCACATGGGGGCAGTATTGTCATGAGTGCCAAAAAGTAACACAACTGCATCCATGTGTGACAGTCACTATCTAGGAATCACAGCTCCACTCATATTTCTGGGGTTTTGTACACTGCATTCAATGCTCTTATTGCCACAAGGTAATCACGTTTAAATTAAAAGGTAAAACCGCTTTAATCACACCTGAGGATGAATACGTATTAACAGGTGCTCCTTGGGCCAGGGAACACTTTGCCTTGAATGAATCAAAGATGTCATTTTCCCAGAGTCACCAATGACAATTTATGCACTGTTGTATGCGTCCTAGCCAATATCCCATAGGCTAATCAGATTAGAATATCACAATCATGTACTTGAACATTTAATCCACTCCCTTTAGAGCTGCGTCGGGTATCAAGGGCATCACCTGAAGACCTCCCTCCTCTTCGTTCAATAACATGGCTCTTTTTGTACGTTGACCTTCACAAAGGATCCCATAAATGTGTTCTGTTTTGGTTCCAAAGAATTGATTCATCCAGACTAGAAAAAGATTGTTCTAAATATGTAAACCATGGCATGTTTTATTCCTCTGACTGCGTAATGGGGCTGCATGGGAACTTCTGGTCCTTTATCTGCTGCTACGGTCACATGGCTTTCCTGCTCATGTCGCAGCTTGGGGCAACTTAGCCAGACACAGATGGAGATAATGAATAAATTGAATTGCTCAATTGTTGGGTCCTTATCTCTTGTGCACCAAAGTACATGCTTTTGGTCGCCATCTTCGGCTAAATGTGGCCCCAAGGTTTGATGGTAGTTAACGGTAGTTTGTTCTCACGCTCACGTCTCCCGTCATGAGACCACACGCAGGGAGCCACAGAAACACAAACAAGTGTGCGAGATAACGGCAAGCGGTTTATTTAAAAGGATTAAAAAAAAAAATCACCACAGCTGTTTTAACTAATAGTACTGTACAAAAGGACACCACACGTCTTGGAAATAACTGAATTATCTTTCGGCTCACAACAACCTCGGCTCGTATACTTAAGACCACCGCTTTAGACTGCGGAGTCCATTCCTTCCTTCGATACATCAAAAATTACCCAGCAGAAGAAGCAGCATCTAGACAGCTGTGCCTCTCTCCAGGTTTTGCTTGATCTCCGCCGTGTATTTGCCGTAGAAGCGCTCGGCCTTCTTGTTGAACTTGGCGTTCCTCTCGTTGATGTAGTCGATGTCCGCGTCGTCGTTGTATGCCCTGCGTCGGCTGTACTTGGCCCGCTTCTCTATCCTGGCAAATCGCAGAATGAAAGCAGCTTAGGGAGGACGTCATAAACGGGGCCATGGCATAACCAATAACAATTATAGGCTACAGGCGATTATACCGAGGGTGAGAATTTAAATGTGGCGACGGAAAATCTATAGTCGGTCAGTTAAATGTGAGGAACATTAAAAGATGTAGCAGCTTTTCCTATTTTGGCAAAAAGGTCACTAAGTCAGTATTTTCCCCACATAATTTATTATGACTGAAATAATCGCATATTTCCAAACCTCACACTGCATTTGTGGTGTACCAGCACCGGAAAAAGGGTCTGAATGTCCCAGCTGTCTTTCTAAAATGCATATTTAGTCAGGGTGCTAAAATTGCTCAGAGGAAAACTTCACCCACAAAACAGGCAACTTTTCCTCCCTGGTTACCTTTAATTCTTGAAGATTTACATTTTCTCTTGTAGAATTAATTGAGAGATTCCGCCGCTCATTGTGAAGGCGTGTGAGAAAAATAAAAGTTCCCCTCAAAGAACTCCAGGTGACCCTGGCGGGTGATCGATCGATACACACATGGTTTTGGGTGTGAAGTATTCCTCTTACAGAGTCATGATGAAACTCGCTCGTCAGCCGGGTCGTTAGAAGGATCTTCGCGGTGTTCCCAGCGAGTCAAACGGATGCTCTCTGTGCCGGCACGGTGTGAGATGAAAAAGACCGCCACGCGGCGTCTTTGTGGGGTTCTAGAGGGCAACTTACTGTTTCTCGACATCTTCCACCATGCGGTCAATGCCGTCCTTTGAGGGGACGTGGGTGCCGTGGATCAGGCTGTTGGACGTCGGGTGGAAGTCCTCACCGCTGTGGAAGGAATTAGACACGCATAACCAGAGATAATCACGATTTGAACATGCTGAAAAATGGCTCCTCTATTCCATCATTGTGAGCGCCGTCACCCCAATGAAAGATAAGATGGCCGCGGGGGGAAATGTGCTTGTGCATCCTTCACGGTTCTGCATGAACGTCAGTCTTTTGAGGGCAAATAACCTGGAGGCAACGGTCTCTTCTTCGAACTGAAGTGTGCGTGCACTGCACACACACCAAGATATTTATGAATTTCGTCTGTGCCGTTTCAAAACAGACCTCGGGGCAAGTGAGGAGGGCACTAAACTTAATGTATAGAAAATGCTTTGTGCACATGTGATGAGAGGATTCCGAGAGGACTACGCCCGGCCCAATGATTCATTTTACTTGACTAGCGATGTCACAGTTCCGGTCGTGACACTAGAGACGTCTCATGTCGGGATTCTCATGGCCCGGTTAGAGGGAAAGCACAGACTTAATGGCGATAGAAAGACATGGCAACAAGTCCCCCAACACAGTTTTGGTCACTCACCAATCCTCTCTCTGCTTCTCATAGCTTTCCATGTCGGGTCGGATTTGCCTGGTGAGCCTCTGGTACTGTCGGAATTGGGCCTCAGCATAACCTGCAGTCCGTTGTGGGAGACGGAGAGAAATAAAAAATGAAGTAAGAATTACCGGAACAAACGGCAAACAGGCACGAGGCTTCGCAAAACACCCCACGGCCAGTTTTGGGGGCGCTATCAATAGCAGCAATATTTATGAGACGCGTCAAGCCTTTTCTTTCTTGAGGGGATTAAATTCAAACCAGTTTGAGTGGATTAACATCCCAAGAGAGAGAGATTCTTACTGCAACCAGTGCTCCATTCACTGCCGTTACATATGGTTTTAGGTGGCAACGCTTCTCTGTTTGGAAGTGGGAAAACTTGTCAAAAGGTCACATTGAATGGTAGAGGAGAACACGGTGAACCACTCGTTTACTCAAGAGTATTAAATTACCATTTACTAAAATGAGTAGACTGAGGTTCTGTGGTCTCATGCCTAAAATAAAGCGGTTTGATCCAATCGCTATGCAATCAGTGACGAGCACTTGAAATATGACGGCCAAACCCTGATTCCATTAGGTTTGAAAGTGACAAAGGATTTATTTTTGAGCTTCATTAATTCCAGCAGCTATTTATTTGTTTCAGCTGATATAAGGTCAGTGCCAGCATGAGTCAAGTAACTGAAAGACTGCCACCTTTGGGTTCTTTCTACCAAATAAAGTTGGTTGAAAAGTTGGCCTGTCAAAAGATTAAAAAAACAACAACAAATGAATCCCACATTTAGAAATGCATCAATTGAGATAAATTTCTGCTGTGCTTGTGCAGTTTGCTTTGCTCACAACTCTCCATCGTTTGACGGCCGTGTTTGAAGTGCCAACAATCTCCCGACATTCAGCCAGGACGTTTTCCAAACCACTGTCTAGCCTAGCAGCTACCAACACGTTACCAGGGTTGATGACATATTGGTACCGGTTCCTATACATCCGGTACCTACAGCAACGCAGTTTTTGGTGCCTCAGCCGATTGAAAAACTTTGTTTACGTCGCAGCAGCTAATGCTAGCCTGCCGCTTGCGTAGCTACAGTAGCTAGCTAGCCATCTACCTTCTATTTACATTTATTAAAGTCAATGTTTCCCCTCCGTGATACAATCAATACATTCTGCCACACGGTAGATATGCTCTCGTGCCTCATGCAGCTCTTCTGTGTTGCACCAGCTGCAATAATGACGTCAATACATTGAGACAAGCAAGGAGCGTCAATCAAACAAATTCTTTCAATATATTATCTTTAGTTCCTGCACAACAACCATAAATCAAAAATGATGACGAGGATTAATATTCCCCAAATTCCATTGAACTAATAAATACACTTCCGGCTCCTACAGAGGATGAAACACTAAGTAAACTTAACTGTAAACAGTTAATATAATGTTAAAAAGCTAAAAAGGTCAAAGCTGTACATTGAAGTGTTTTTTTAATGTTTAATTTATTTATATTTACAGTATTGTTTATACAGTTAATATATTGTTCAATTGTGAAGAAAATTGCACCCCTTTTTCCCCTAAAGTTTAGGCACCGGTATTGTTTTAAAAGTGGAAAAAACCAAACAATAACCATCCCGACATGTTACGTCGCTGATGTTTCTTGTGTCTCCAGTATCTCATACAACGTTTGTTCAAACGCTGTTTATTGCTAGAACTAAAAGTGTACACTCTACCGAGTACATCACCGCCAAGAGACCCCTGTGCATCCTCACTGAAGACCCCAACACCAACCTGCAAATCCAGTGTCGGGGTTCTTCTTCTTCTTCTTCCTCTCCCACCGCTCTGCATCCTCAGCGGTGATTTCAAGCAGCTTCACTCTGTGATAGTCCTCCCCTCGTTCAGCACATTCCTGGGGGAAAACCATTAATATGGTACA